AAAAAAAAAATGAATGACGGCGGGATTGAACCCTGGCCGTCGGCGTGGTAGCCGAGCGCGTTACCGTTAGGATAACACACTATAACAATAATTTAATTTCATTAGGAGTATATATTTTGCAAAAGTATTGTTTTAAAAAATTGTTAATTTGTCAATTTCACAGGATATCTTTTCGCTTTTCAAAAATTCAGTTTTTAAACGATCTTTTGATTGATTAACCAATTAAAAAAAGATAAAATTGAAATTATTTAAAAAAAAAAAATGATTGACGGCGGGATCGAACCCGGGCCGTCGGCGTGGAAGGCAAGCACGTTACCATGAAGACAACGCACTCATTCTGAAAACATAATTTTATTAGTGGTATATCTGCAACATATTGAATAATTTTTTTAATTGAAATTCCACCAGGTGTGGTTTCCCCCGTCCGCACGTTCTACCCTCGGCTAAATTTCAGTTAAATAAATAAAAACAAAAAGTATTCACACCGCAGAAAATAAAATTCACCCCGTCGACTTGATAAATACCCCAACATTGCAATAAAAACTTGGTTAATAATAAAAAAAACACCCCAGCATTGCGTGTGGCGCCCTCCCTCTCTTCGGGTGGAGTACTATGATGCCGCTGGGGTCGGTCCAACCCCAAGAACTGAGCCGATACCTCAGTCAATGCTCTTTGGCAGATTCCTTCACCAACTCTCATATGAGAACGCATAATTCGGTTCACTCCATGCCTTTTTTACTAAAGAGAATACGACATTTGAGAAATACAAATGAATTAGATATGTAAGTAAATTATACCCATCCTATTGTTCAAATAAAATAAAATAAATATCTTCTCGATTTTACAGATACCGAAAGATATGATATTATTCTGCAGAACTTGCGGTAACGTTCTCAAGGTAGTAGAGGCAGGTTATTCAGGTCTTCAATTTGCGTGTAACACTTGTCCCTATGTATTCAAAATTTCCCGAAAAATAAGCAACCGGACCTATCCAAAATTGAAAGAATTGGACGACGTGTTGGGTGGAGCAGCAGCTTGGGAAAACGTCGATTCAACTGCTGAACGTTGTCCAAAGTGTTGTCACCCACGTGCATACTTCATGCAAATTCAAACAAGATCTGCCGACGAGCCCATGACAATTTTCTACAAATGTTGCAATTCGTCGTGCGGTCACAATTGGCGAGAGTAAAAAATCGTTGGAACATTGGAGGAATAAGATTAATAATGGAAGTTAATTATCAACCACCACTGAAAGTAACTCTCAATCAAATTGACACTCTGATGAGTCGAATGAGTCCTAATGCTAAACATTGGTTCATAGGGGGTGAACGATCCCTCGCTGTTGGTGTCAAACTACTCAAAGAGCGGAAAATAATTGCTATTCCGACAGATACAATTTATGGTTTAGCAACTCTTGCGCAAAAAAGTGAGACTGTTGAAGCCTTGTATGAATTAAAAGGTCGAAACAGAAGTAAACCACTGGCTATTGCCCTCAGTAGTATAAAAGATATTCCACGATGGGCTGAGAGCGGACATCTTCCCCCCAATTTATTAACATCCATTTTACCTGGTCCTATCACAATCGTTCTTAAAAGAAAACCTGAATTGAATTCAGCGCTAAATCCTGGCTCTGACACCATTGGCATTAGAGTGAGTGATAGTAAATTTCTCAGAAGTCTCTGCAGAATTATTAATGAACCATTAGCACTTACCAGTGCCAATTCCAGTGATCAACCAAGTTCACTCATTGCTGATGAATTTCAACATCTCTGGCCACACCTAGCAGGAATTTTTTACACAATCAACAATAAAAATAAATTGGATGAGTCTTATAGAGTTGGATCCACCGTTGTTGATTTAACAGTACCTAATGAATTTCATATTATTCGGAGGGGAATATTTGTTGATCGAGTTTTCAAAATGATGTACAAGTACGGATTGAAGAAGAGGAATGTAATCGAGGGAAATGAGTCAGAACTAGATGTTGCCGTACAGCAACAATGACGTGTATATATTAATTATGCGGAAATTCAAATAAAATTTAATTAAGACATGTGTTGAGTCGATAATTCTTCTTTATTATCATTCGCAAATGTTGAGTGCAGTTAACCAGTAAATATTGTCTTATGAGTGAAAATACATATCACATGGAATTATTTTAAAAATGTCTATAAAATGTATCTTGTATCTCATGTTAAGGCCTTATAATTATGATAATTGATATTATATACTCTATACTCTATCTGCCGACTGTTCCATTCTAAATTCATCCTCTCATCTCTTTTTTAAACTCCTCCATTAACAATCTTCCAAGTCACTGATTGTTCGTTTAAAAATATCATTATAATCTCTGAAACACTTGAAATGATAAAGCACGAATTTTCAATTTTCGAAACGCCTTGAGCATCTGCTTTACATGTACACGCTTACACGCATTTATCACAAAAATTATGACTCTATGACTAACACGTTTCTACAATGGGAAGCATGTACGCAATATAAAATAATATCTACCTACAATGGGGGATGATAAAACTATAAATATATAAAATAATTTTACTTGAATGAAAGAGACGGATGTGAAAAGACTAAAATTGATCTCATAATATTCCTTTCATTCCGAGATCATAGCTAATATCATTGATTAATCATTGGAGTTGTCATCGTTTCACTTTCAACATGTAATACTAATTAAACAGTCGAAATAGCAATTCTCATAATTTTTTATCAACTCAATATATTAAAGTTGCAATAAAATTAGCCCTCAATCAATTTATTCAATTTTTATTATTACTATGATTAGGATTATTATGCAAAGAATCATGTTCTTATAATGATAAAATCAGTCTAGTCTTCTTTAGTAGAGAATGACCCCACCTGGTTTCGTTTACCATCCAACCTGAATATACCAATAATGCTGGTACGGAGTCTTGTGTAAATTTCCTTCCTAACAGTCGCCGTGAATTTTGTGGCAAGGCATGCAATAGCAGCTATTGCAAATATTAGATTGTAAAATAAAACGAGTTTGAAGTTACCAAGCCATTCAATGCGCCCAAAGTCACCCAATAAATCAAAATTCGTCATGCCTGAAAGTATAGGATAAATATTGTTAATCGTTGGACGATAGATCGTGAATGATTAAAATTACTCACCAAGTATACGTGATAAAAGTGGTAATGCTGAGCTGAGAACTAGGAGAAGGGCGCAATTAGCAATGAGATGGGTAAGAGGAGTTGAATGAATTCGTGGTCTAACTCTTCTTACACCGGGAAGACCATAGAGACCAATGGCACTTGTCGCTGCCAAATACAATATTACGACAACCTCAACTGCAGCACCAATAGGTCCAAGTTTCGATAATGAACTGATCCCCAGTGTGAATTGCTGAATTAAATAATCATATTCACATAATTTATGATAATAAAATTGAAATAATGAAGAATGGAACATACCCTTGTACTCAATGGAAGTGCTTTAATTCCAATGAGAAGCTCCAGGGTATTTTGTACTGCTAATAGAGCTGTTGTCGTTGAGAGAATTAAGAGAGCCAGCATTGCGAGTGGATATACAAGGGTTCGTCTAACCCACCATGTTCTCCTCTGTTTATCAAGTAATTTACTACGTTTCTGTACATCGTTCAGTCTTTGAGTAAGGCCACGCTGGAGGGCCCCATTCTTCAGGCCCATTAAACTTGGATTTGGAACAAGAAGCTGTTCATCATCGTCAGGTACAATGTTGCACGATGGTGGTGACATTGGCATTGGGGAAACGTACGATTTTCCTGTTGACTGGGCATGTTCAAGTCTAAACATATTAAATCTCCATTTTTAATTCTCCACAATCTAATATTCAATCATCTACAACAATAATCATCAAACCGTCTTTTTAAACAGTCTTCCTCTAGTCGATACGCGAAAAATTCTTCATCCAAATTTTTTAAAAATTGTGGCTTCACAAGACAGGAGCCGACAACACCGAAAAGTCGTACAAATCCTAGTGGTGTGCACACTGGAATATTATAAGATTATTATTAATTTATATCCTCAATATTTATCGTAGGATAAACTCACGTAACAACATGACAACTCCAACGAAGGACACGCAGGAGTATAAAAAAGGCAAATAGTAACTCCATAAATCTGAAAATTATCGATAATTAATAATAATATTGAAATTATTGGCTAGCTTAAAGGATACTTACTGAGTAATGTATGGAGACTTGATTGTTGATAATCAATGAGCGCCGATAAGACATATGTCATACCGAGAACTAGTGTTCCTAGTAGACATAATACTGTCACGGTCTCATAAACTCGGGCCATCACTCCCTGAATAAATTCATCGTATCAATAGCACACAGGAAATTAATCTCTTACTTATTACAATTACCTTTTTATATCCGACAAATCCTTCGGACTCCGTGAAAAGATATGCGAATGGTAAAAATACGAACAGAGAGAGATTCGAGAATAGAAATACATGATTCCAGAGGCCTGCAAGTACATTTTTATTTTGATTACACAATTATTCATAATAATTACACAATCTCTGGTATTTACCTTGTATCAGGGAACTATTCAGCCACTTGACGTAGTAACTGTTTGGATAAAGTATGAGAACTTCATTACTGGCGATTGAAACTGGCAAAAGTAATGTTGCACCAGCTGATACTGCTAAAGCCACAGTGCACAGCCAGAGGCTGATTCTGTAAACTGTCGCCTCATCTTCATCTACTGAAAAATAGTCTTCACGATCTCTACGTCGAAATCGGCCGATAAACGCGTAACTCGAGGTGTATAACAGGAGAAACAGAAGAAGAAATATCTGAAAGAAAAATTTCCAATATATTACACTCATGCAAAAATCCAAATGCATCTCTTTAATTTGTACGCATGTTAAGGCGATAATAATCGATATTAGAGGCCTTAATGCTGTAAAGCACATGAATATCATATGAAAATCGAAATCGATAGTTACAGCTATTAACAATTACCCTTTCATTCTCTTATCGATTATTAAAGAACAATAATATTCGTATTTTCTAGTCCTTTGGGTCATAAATTCTGATAGTAAACAAATAATCGTGATAATATATCTAGAAATGTTGACGTTAAGGCGGAAATTTATCAAGGCCAGTGATAAATTGTTAAAGCTGATAGTGTAATGGCAAATGGGAATTTGTGTCGTGTAAAATTGATATGTACTTCCACGTCGTACATCGCGTACCTCACGTCAAATCCACTTGGCACTCCCGATTATTTTCACAACAAAAAAATGTCTTTTGTTTCTGTTTTGATTTTAAGGAGATAGTAGTTATTGAGGTCAATGATCCTACTGAGATATATAAGAGATGAAAATAATGATGTCATGGTGAAATGCGAAACGTCCAATTTACTCACAATATTCTCCCTGACAGTATTGTGGAATAATTGTTCCCTGAGGTCAGCATCATCTTCCATCTTTTCACCTATTTCTCAGTAAATTTTTTTTGGTTAAATAGTGAACTGTCGAGTGCAACATTTTACATGAAAAAACAATATAGATAGGTACTCCAATTCTATCAGACGCAGCACATTATAGTTTTGTATTAATAGAGCAATTGGTAAAATAAAAAAAACTATAATTCAACGATTACTATTGTTAGTTCATATATATTCATATGGATTTTAAATGTATATTAATTAACATGGTTGTCACTGATGTATGTAAATGACTCGATTCAGTGTCACTGACGATATTATAACTTTAGTCTCTCGATTTAATTCTCCCACTCTAGCTACTTGTTTCCATCTTGTTATAATGATTTGTCAGACTGAAAAAAAACGGTATTGGAAAAAAGGGAGGGGGAATTTTTCATTTTCAATTGGTGGCATTGGTGGCATTGGTGGCATTGGTCGCTACCATTTTGTCCTTTGACATACAGCGCATGTTGGCGCCAAACACCAGAGCAGAACAGCTGTTTTATATGCAATAGGCGGGATTCCTAGTCCAATTGTACAATGAACAAGAGCCGGTAGTTGTCATTTATTTTTGTACTCCACCCTCGTTGTATGTCCTCGGACATTAAACGTAATAATTTGTAAAAATTTAATAGTCATTCGTCATTAATTTTCGCTCAGATGAAAATAGTTTTGAGGGATTTACGAGGTTTGCAATAGTGTGACATAACCAAGAAGAAGACTCCATTACGTTTCTATCGATAAAATAAAAAGGAAGAGGTAATTTTTTACTGACTGGAAACTGTAGGAGTATTTTTTAATATTGAGATGTAAATTAAATTGGTTTTTTGAAGATGGAACCTCTAAAAATACATCTGGATGCGTTGGAGATGGCTGGGAAGATGGTGGACAAACACATGATCGCCGACAGCAATTTTCCATCTCTCTTGAATCTCATGAGATATTCAGTACAAGGAGGACCGACTGTCAGTGGTTTGGATGATCATGATTATCCGAATCTAAATGGAAATCTAAGCCTCAGTAGTATCAATCAAATGAAGATGCACAGTAAGATTCCCCTACCGTCAGAAGTAATGGAGCACTTTGGTCACATGCAGTGTCACTGTATGATGGGACTATTCACTGATATCTCTAAAGCTTGGCTGACAATCGACAGTGATATTTACGTTTGGTCATATGAGAACGAATCAGACGTTGCGTATTTCGATGGTCTTAATGAGACTATAATAAGCGTCGGTCTCGTCAAACCAAAAGCTGGAATATTTCACAATTACGTTAAGTACCTATTGATTCTTACAACGACTGTTGAAATAACGGTATTGGGGGTGACTCTGAGTGAAAAACCTGATGGTAGCCAGGGAGAAATACAACTTGTTCCAGAACCGATATTTACGGTAACAACTGATGGAATTGCCATAACTACAATAGCGAATACAAGCAGTGGTAGGATATTCTTGGGTGGTAGAAATGGTTGTCTGTATGAAATTCATTATCAAGCTGAGAGCAGTTGGTTTGGCAAGCGCTGTAAAAAAGTTAATCATTCTGAAGGGCCTTTATCATTCTTGGTGCCATCATTTATCACAGTAGCACTCTCCGAGGAGGAAGCCATTGTTCAAATATCCGTGGATGATTCGAGAAATATTTTGTATACACTCGGTGATAAAGGAACGATTATGGTATGGGACATTGATAATGGTGGTGCTTCAAAAGTAACATCTCTATCTCAATCGTCACTCGTACAAAATACTGTTCACATCGTTAAAACACTGGACAGTAATAATTTTCGACCACTAGTCAGCATCTCAGCTATCACCGAGAGTGAATCAATTCATCTGAATTTGGTGGCTGTTGCTGCTACTGGTACGAGATTCTATTTCACTTGCACTTCGATAACAAATCCTGGAATGAGGGCTCAGTGCTTGCAGCTCGTTCATGTGCGATTACCACCGGGTTATGCTGCCAATGCGCCAGTTATGAGACCGAGAAAAGTACAAATGGCGCATTATCGTAAAGGTACACTCATACTTGTTTGTGGTGGTGATACAGAGACTGCTTGGTGTCTCAGCAATGATGCTTATCCATTTACCAATTATCTTGCTGAGACCCAGAGTATTTTACCACTGGACAGTCCTGCTTGGGCTATGGCTGAGATATTTGGTGAGTCAGTTATTCATATTGATAAACAGGGAGCTCACGGGGAGCCACCGTTACTGGTGAGACAACACATGGAGCCACCGAGAAAATTCATATTTCTTACAGCACAAGGTGCTATTATTCTCGTTCAAGTCAGACCAGTTGATATACTTCGACAGCTTCTTCTTGAACAACGTGGCCCTGATACTGAATCAGTTCGATTGTATTTTGACAGTCAATCACCGGAGCAGGCGTGTGCAACTTGCCTTATTTTGGCTACTCTCGAGTCTTCTCAGAATGCACAATTATCTGAATGGGCAACTCGTGCATTTTTCCTGTACGGTGGGCAAAGAGCTAATCAGCATACAACCAGCATGCACCATCACTCATCACCACCACTCAATTCTGTTCACACATCAACACCAAGAGTTCCACCAATTGATCCACGTCAAAATATCTTTCGAACTCCTTATCAACAACAACTTGCTATCAACGCTGAAACGAGTATACATCAATTTTCCGCTAAACATGGGGGACTTTATTTGTACGTTGGGAGAATTCTCAGACCTATTTGGAATATCAGATGCATCAAGCAAGAAATTGTTAATGCCAAGCCACAGGTACAGAGCACTGTGACCTCTATTCAAATTGGATGGATTCTTGGTCATCTTCAAGCACTCAGATCTTTTCTGAATAAAAATACGCACATCTCTAAACAACACACCACCAGTAGAAGTCTCACCACTGAGGGGCACTTCGATACAGGAATGAGTCATTATCAAGAGCCAATGGTTGAGGAGAGAAATTCACTCGATGCTCTCAAGGTCTTCATCACTCATGCCTGTGAAGTTTTGGGACTGTGGAAGATATTGTGTGAGAATCAACTGCACAATATCGTCAATTCTCTCTCGAAAGATCAAGTCAATCAATTTTCAACAGCAACGTTCAGAGATTTAATTTTGATGGGACATGAAATATGTTCGCTATTGATCATCCATTTAATTGACAGTTATCTCGGTGACAATACGTCAGTCGATGTTGTCAGTACGAGATTGAGAGATGTCTGTCCAAATTTATACAAAAGTGAAGACGCTGTGTGCTCAAAGGCCAATGAGATCATTCTGAAAGCTAAAAATTGCTCCAATGCCGAGGAGAAAGAATCACATCTTCAATCAGCATTGAAATTATGCAAAATGGTAGCACCACGGTTAAATCTGGCAGCAGTATGTCAACAATTTGTTGCTTGTCAATTTTATACTGGTGTTTTGGAGCTCTGTCTATGCTGCGCTGAGAAGATTGATCCAAATAACGCAGCTCTACATTATTACAAGAATAATGAACCACCAGAAGATCAAGAGGGTAATTTGGCATATTTCAAGAGACTGGAGATTTATAAAGAAGTGACTGTTATGCTCGATCATCTCTACAATCAGAGTATATCTAATCCATTGACACCGACGATTCCTAGCAAGCCAGGACCACCAACTTACAATACCTCGAGCATAGCAACAGCTCCAGCTAAACAAGTTCTTCATGAGATAATCGAGGATGCTCTTCACAGCTCGTGTGAAATTCTTCATGCATCCATCTACACCTGGATGATTGAACGCAATCTTCATGGTGAACTTGTCGCCCTGGCTGCCCCCTCTCTGGAGCCATATTTAATCCGAGTTAATGCACCTGAGCTGTTGTGGCAATTCTATGAGCGAAGCAAAAATCATGCCGCTGCTGCTAAAATTCTTGATGCACTGGCTACAAAACCTGGACCGAATGTCTCTTTATCTCAGAGAGTTGAGTATCTTGCGAGAGCTGTTGTGTGTATGAGAAGCGATCAAGCTGGTTATGCTCCTTATCTCGGGGTATTTCTTCGAGAGCTCGAGGACAAGGTTGAAGTTGCAAGGATTCAACAGCAAATCCTCGATACTATCTCCAATCAGCAACAATTGTTCGACAATATGGTGGTGAGGGATGCTAAACTCAGGCTAAACTCGTCACTGTTGGATATCACTCAATTGTACGAGGAATATGCGGATCCTCTTCAGCTTTGGGAGTCTAAACTGGCGATTATTCACTGCTCCGGGCATCAGGATGCTATGCTCGTTCAGGGAATTTGGACCAATATTATTGAGAATGAATTGAAAAATGCACAAAGCCAAACCTCCACTGAGGATAAAATGTCTATTCTCATGAGTAAAATTAAAATGCTGGGACAAGAATATTCAGGCACTCCGCATTGTTTTCCCATTGATTTTTTGATTAAAGAACTGGAAATTCGGGCGTGCAGATTAGCCGTGTCCAATACAGATATTATTACTGGATTTTTACAGCTCGGTGTTTCTATGGAGGATCTTTTGGATTTGTATGACAAACTCATTGGGGGTAATAATCGTGTCTGGTTGAATGAGGGTAATGAATTTCATTTGATTGAATCCACTGCCAATCTTGTCAATTACTTCACTAATAATACAAAAATAGCTAATAACTTTCTCAAGAGAAAAGTCATAATCAAATGCCAGGATATTATTTCCAAATGCCTGACAACATTGTTCAGTAAGCCCAATGCCAGTGAACTTATTCAACGACTCAGAGCCATTCAGAGTGTACTCAATAGGCTCTAATTTCACTATTTATATTTTCTCATCAATGATTTCTTTTTTTTACTTACGATTAGCAGAAAACTTTCGTCAGTCTCTGTAAAATGTAAAAGGTGGAAGATAAATACAATAACGAAAGAACAAAATGATGCATTATTATTTCAGTTCATTAAATCCCCAATCCTCAAATTAATTCCTTAAATAATAATTTTTCTTTTAGGAAGGGAATGATGTAGTGTAATAATGACCAATTTATCGAAGCAATCTTTAATATAGCAACATAGTCAGTCTTACAATAAGCCGGAAAATACAATCTACCATTAACCAGGGAGCAAATGAAATGGAATATGTTGCTCATTTGACGCTCAATTATTGCTCAGAGAAATAAAAAAATCATGAAAGCCATATCAAAATGAATTTGTCATTTTGTACATCTCAACGACAATATAATTGAAGCGAATAATAATAATTTTTCGAATCAATATAATATTTGCTTATAGAAATGTGCAATTAATAATTAATATCGAAATTATTTCTCATCTTACCATCTAATTACATACGATAAATTTCTGCCAACTGCACATCTTTAAAGGTCCTTACGAATGAATAAAATAAAATAGCATGCTAGCTTTCTCCTATCCATACGATTATGAATATTATTGTAATTATAATCATCATCATCCTCATTATAGTCAATATATTTTTTCTTCCACTTTTTCTCTCATTTATTTCACCTAATTAATAATCATTCCTCACATGCTCTTATTCCCAGGATCTCACACTGTCTCACGTTATTCGCGTGAAAAAAAAAAAATAAAATGGGAATATGCACCAATAATTCTTGAATGCATCGCGTAGAAACACTCAACAGATTATTGATACAGTTCACAATTAGCAATTTGAGATTTATTCTTCCTGAGGTAACGTGATAATAGAGTTGTGTCAAATTAAAATATCATAACAACACGGGAGATGTGTATTTTTGAAAAAAATGGCAATTTATTAGTGACGAGATAAACGCGTAGATAGAATGATCATCGTTATAAATATATAGATACATTATAATAAGATAGATGGGTATTTGTCAAAACATTCAAAGCTTTGCGTAAAATATAAATTGTTACTCATTATCTGAAATTCGATGTATTTTTCAGGTTTTGAGTATTTGAGAGAGTACAAAAAGTATTGTGTATCGTCATTTTTATTGCTAGTTCATGTAATAAAATGATCGTTTCCTGATGACTTATTATTCTTCTGCTCATTTTCACAGTGTATTTTTATATCCGTGTTACTTTGCATTCTTAGGCAGTTGATCCAATGACGAATAGTATTTGATTATTATTGATATAATTACTGGTAATATTATCATTTATTAGTATTATTTATTATTATCCTTATTATTTATTTATTTATTCATTCATTTATTCATTATTATTGCTGTGAAACAAGCGAGTACCGAGTGTTTCCAATAAAAAATGGCTTGTTAGAAAAATTCACGTAAAAAAATTATTTGCTTCGCTTGTTTCATTCCAAGATATGCATATTTGTCACTCAATATGTCGATTAAAAATTGTAAAAATAAGTGATCTTCGTTTTTTAAATGTTTGTAAAAAGTATCAAATATTTATTTTCTTGATAGAAAAGAAAAAATCCGTAATTTTCACTTTTTTTTTCCACAATTTTGGAGATAAATCTCACGTGATGGGATCATTTGTTACTTTGTACTTAATAAATTTACAAGTTTATCGGCTGAGAATTTACATAGAAAGTTACATTAGTTTGTAAATTGTTTAGGTTACCAAAAAATTATTATCACAACGCACTTTTTTTTTTTTGCATCTGAGAAAAGTTTATTTTATAAGTAAAACTAATTATGGCCTTGCATTTCGGTAGCAGCAGATAGCAATCATTACACAGAGCAGACATAACAATTAGCAAGGATCTATCATTTTCTTTGTAGTGTGTAGACGTTTGTTATAGATAATTTATATGCAGCAGTTAGCGGTATTATTAGGAATAGATGTGCAGTTTTTTCCTCAGTTTCAGTTTTTCGTTTATTTATTCCATCTCTCTTCCATTATTAGGTGTTAAATAGATAATTCGTTTCACTCGTCTCCATATGCAACATTAACTCATATATTCGGTCATCAGGTATTAAAAATAAAATCAATATTCATTTTTTATATACTGCAAACTACTGTGGACCGCATTAAAATTGATATAGTTTGGATGATTATTCCATTCACTCATTCCTTTGATTTTTTATTGAAGGATTAATTTTACCGTGATTCATAACTTTGGAAAGTCTATGCCAAATAATTCTTCTGTGATGGAATTAATCGTCTGACTCATCAAAAAATCGACTCATGGCCAGTTGTATTCATAATATGAATGGACGATTTTTCCTCTCGAGGCTGTGCTTTGTTTTCATTTATTTCCGATAGCTTTTATATAATAGTAATGAACTGTAGGAGTATGTACTAGTTGTAAAAATTTTAATATAGCATGAATTTCTCGAGATTGTGTTTTGCCTCCATCTCCCAATTTCTGTCAGTATTTTATATTAAATTAATTTAAATGGTCAATTCAACTGGACTCCTTCTCCTTAGAATCACAATCTGATTTATCCTCAGAAGTTCCATTAGTCAATTCTGGCTCTTTTTTCTTTTCATTGTTCTCCTCAGACTCTGCACTCGATGTTTTCTTCTCCTCTTGAGTGACATTCTTCTTCTCTTTACCTTTACCCTTGGCTGGTGTAGTCGGCTTAGGTTTCGGGGGAACACTCGGATCCAATACTATCTTCCCAATATTCTTTCGATCATGCATCCTCTGCATAGCCTCAGTGACCTCCTCCAAAGCCCACGTTGAGTCTATTTTCGGCTTGATAGCACCGGTATCCCACAGAGCGAACACCTGATCAATAGCTTTCTTCACGAATTCATCACCCCCTTGGCGATGCATTAAATGACGAAAATTAAATCCTGAAATGGTCTTGTTCTCGTCGAAGAGTTTTATCGGTGCAACTTTATCCACTTGCCACCAAGATTTAGCAACCGAGAAGAAGCTCTTGGTTTCACCAGTAACGAGATTACTTGATCCATACAAAACGTATTTTCCCATGGGTTTCAATAGAGAATAGCCCTTGTTGCATTCCTCCCCGTACAGACAATCCAATACAATGTCAACTCCTTCAGGTGAAATCCTGCAAAGTACATTGCAAATTATAATAAATATCGTTTAATTATTTTCCTCTGATATTTACTTTCTGACTTCACTGCAATAATCAGTGCCTCGTTCAAGAAGATGATCAATAGTATTCTGAGCCTTGAGTTCCTCATGCTTCAGCTTTCCGCATACACCGAAAATTGTCACATCTTTAACTGTTTTAGCCAGTTGAATGATAGCTTGACCCTAAAAAAAATTGATCACCATGAATATTAAATGTAGGTATTAGCAGGAGTTGTAGAATTGATGGAGAACACGTGTGCGATGAAAAATATTGAAAGGGGCGAGGCTCAAGTGGTGAAACTTGTACATACAGTATATACATATAGCACTCAACTCATTTTGGTCGATGAGGAAAAGTGAGTGAGACACGCTGAGGGTAAAAGTGTGATAGGATACGTAAAGCCCGTTGCTAAGCAACCACCTAACCACCCACCACCCACCACCCACCCCTATCATCCCAACTTCTCTTTGGGCGCGGCAACTACAAACTTTAACCCTGTAACATCGTACAGATGAAACCTGTTGAGTCGTATTGATCTTGCCAACAATCTTGTCCAATCTCCACTCGCCTCTTGCCATCTCAATTATTTTTACTTGCATTATCTTTGGTTGTAGAAACATTTTACTTACAACTCCACCACCGGCGCTGTGAACTAGCAGACTTTTTCCAGGAGTCAAACAAGCAACATCAAAGAGAAGGATATGAGCGACAGTGTAATTCATGGTGATTGCAGCAGCATCCAAATAGCTCATGTTATCTGGAATCTTGAAGACTGATGTTGCTGGGACTGCAGCAAGCTCAGCCCATGCCTTATGCTCTGGTAATGCTACCACACGATCACCCACCTGAAAATAATTTTAAAAAATTCAATCAGTCAAGTGCAAATAGTCGATTAAATTATTTCACTAATTGATGTCCACATGTGCATTTATACTGACTTGAAAATTCTCCACACCCTCACCGACTGCTTCGATATCACCGGCACACTCGGAGCCCAGGATGAATGGTGGTTTTGGTGTCGAGTCGGTGACACCTCTTCGTGTCATCACATCTTGGAAATTTAAACCACTGCAATTGGTCGAAACAACCCCATCATTTTTCACTTCTATGATCTACTTCTCTTATACGAGAATCCAGTTTTAAAAAGCTCTACTCTCTTGGCTATTCTTCCCCAATAGAGAATTGGCTTTATTACACACTTGAAGAAATACTACGAAAAGGGGAAAAAAGAGATAGACAGACAGGCAGACAGACTATGGGTGCTTGAATCGAGGTGGCCACATGCGGCCATATGTGCCCTTTTCCAAGAATTCTGTTCCCCTGGCCAGTCTACTATGTCATTATATTATACATAAACGAGGATGTATGAAAGTTGCGAGAAAATCAATATGGACTCCCTCGACGACAGTGCGAAATGCAAAAGTTGATGAAAGCTGTTCAATCATTCAATCGAAATTGAAATAGCATTGAATTTAAAATCCAATTCATTGATAATCCGATATTTATTTTCTACAGGAGTAATTAAATGTAATTTATGGGGGAATTTGGAGTAATGAGTGAGGGAAGTGTTGATGATTCATAAATTGGGGTTTTTCAGCATCTCCTACCCAACACGTGCGTCTGTGAAGTGCGTTAGGAGTGTTAGGAGTTAGGAAAAGGAACGGCACGCATGAGGGCGCGCAACTGGGGTGTGGTCCGATCAATACCAACACCTTATAAGATCTATCGGCAACGCTACCCATCTTCCTCCCCCATTTCCCCTCCCCCCCCACTTCATGCACTCTCGATACCGCAATACCAAAATTATTCATTAATTATTTAAAATATTTTAATCAGCAGACAGATAACGAGAGTTCTTCTTTAAAATTTCACGTTGAGATATTGATTAGTTCTTCATCGCATTGAATATGTGATAGCTAAATATATTGCTACCCTGTACCTAGCAGAACGACTGAAGGCTCTCGCGTGTTGGATAGATGGTGAGATCTTGATTGTGATAGAATAAATAGACGTTTAGTGTAAAGGGAGAGTTGAAATTGAAATAGAAAGAGAAATGCCGCCCTTTTATATCACCGCGACACGTGAATAAAAATACAAAATCAATTGGCATAGACTGGTTTACGAATTTTAAGAGGTGGGAATATATTCAGTGCATCATGCCCCCTTCATGTTTTATACGCCACTGACATACAGAATAAGGCTTCAATCAGCTGGATGATACGGGATGATAATGAGAAAAGAATTGTGCGCAAATAATACGACTACGCTCTGAGACAAAGTCTCTTAAACCTGTTGACAATTGGCAAGGGCAAAAAATTCAAACCAATTATCTACATGTAATTTTTCTTCTATGTGCACTGACAGTGCATTTAACATTTATTGAGACGTTCGTAATCTAATGGCGATAAACCCAAAGACCCAGCAACATCATTGTAGACGAAAATTAAATTGATGGAGTATTTTCTTGTTTTCATTACTCCAATCGTTTTCGATAAGTTGTATTTACTTTTTTTTCCCTCAAGTATCCCAAGAGTTGTTTACAATACCCCCAGAATTCATCTAGAAAGACTTAACATATTTAAATTCAATAATCGGCTTATGAGCGTTATAACGACATGCGGCTGATGCAACAATTTAATATTTATGAATATCAATTAATTAAGCTAATGATTGCATGGAAAAAATAATAATATCAAGTGCACTTTCCGTGCGTATGACTAATGAAGAAACGGAAATGAGACGACATTTGAGACTGACTGGATAAGATTATTGCGCAATTAAGATAACCAGAGTTTGTGGATGGAAGAAATTCCTCTGGACATGACTATGGACTCATTCATTCGGTGGTGGAAAGAAAAAAGATGAGAAAATAAAAACGTTTCTCAGACATTCGGGGGGTTCCTCATAAGTCTTTCATCAGAGCCACTATTGTACTCGTGTCCTTAAGTCTTAACGAGTTCCTCAACATACATCTCATACTTGAAAAATTACAACGACATATTTAACAGACCGCCTTTTCTCGAATTTAATAACAATAATTAGTCCAATGGACAGGAGTGATTATCGTTATTAAAGAGAAGAAAGATTGAAAAAAAAGGGGAGAAATTGGTGATAAACGCTCCTTTCCAGAGCACTTTTAATCACTTCTTCTGGAAATGATCGTCATTTGAAAAACGAGATGCTCAATCTGTTGAACACTGGTAGTACTGCATGATTTTACGGTGCCTGTCTTTGCCACAGGCAAAGCGGAAATGACAATTGAATGTCCCGACTGTTGATCGACAATGGAGGAGTGAAAGAAAGAAATAAAGAGATTAAAGTAAAAATAGATGGGAGTGAGACTCACCATGCTTTGACTCTGATGAGGACTTCACCCTCGGCGATGGTTGGCTCTGGTTTCTTAAGGGCCTTGACACTTTTGAGTCCACCAAAACCGTTGAGAACGATGGCACGCATGTCCTTCGTCTCGGCGATTTGTTTCTCTTCGCCATTCTCCTTGGGCTTCTCCTCGTCATTCTCCTCAATTTTTTTATCCTCAATTTCCTTATTGTCCTTAGTATTATCATTCTCTTCATTTTTGGTGGGAGTGGTCGGCTCCTGAGGCTTTTTGTCACCCTCAACCGTTGGGCTAGTTTCAGTCTTCTCTTCCGCCATTTTACGTATCTCTTTAAACTCTCTGATACAGTTACGTACCTCTAATATAAAAACTCCTCACCACTTATCGATATAATAATGAAATATTAACGAGAGTCGTCACGCTTTCTGTACTGCTCTCTTTATTCGAGATGCTCTCTCCCTTTCTTCCTACTTTACTCAGAGAATCCAATTAAACCCGACGCCGTTATCTCTCTCTCTTTCTCTTCCTCTACCCTCACTCTTTCCAATCTTTCCAAAAACCAACCGGTTTATCTCCTATTTATTATTATTATCAATATTTTACGAAATTGATTATTCCAACAAGAAACACTCTCGACGGTTATTCAATTTCTCAACAAATATGAAATATGAAATATGAAAAATTCAAATGGAGTTAATATAATATACAAACGAGAGATCAACTGCGGTATTAGTCTGGATTTTGTGGGCTTTTTAACAGGAATGAGAGACGTCTGCACAAGACCGGTGACCACTTGGTTCTGTATCTGAACACTGAATGTGAACGTCCTTATGGTTAGGCTTGTCTGCGCTCGTCTGGTCTTTCAGTGGCCGATGAAAAATTTTCGCCACCGGCCGGGCTCTATTATACATTTGCTTTTCGCTGGGGCTACGGCGGCGTCGCAAGCCGCAGTGTTGCCGGTTGCCAAGCAACCGATCTACCCCCTTCCCCACTTCCACATGCCAGGATCACGACAGGGCGTCGGGACGTCGGGGCGTCACACCGTCGGGGGGTGAGTGAGCACTACGTCGGGACTCCCTTCAACCATCGTAAAAATTCGGATCAATTCGACATTCTTCGAAAACCAACTCATATTTACTTCGGATATTTCCGCGGGTATTCGTTACACCCCATCACCACGGAATTATGGACTCTGGGGGAATGGGAAGGACGCAGGGGGTGACGAGACAGACTGTCCTACCCCGCCTTTCCCTCTTCCCTGTAAATAAATTTATCTTCCTTTTAAATTCTCGTTTGCCTATCGATATTCAATTTAAAATAAATTTATTTTTAAGCATTACATCCTAATTTATTTAACAATAAATTGTCGTTTGGCGAAATTATTTTGATACTATCCTTTATAGTTACATGATGAAAATTGATGCGATAGGCCAGTGTGAAAGTAGAACCGGGAAATCGTATGGTCGACGCCCAATATAAATACGCCTTCCCGCCACATTTTGAATAATTCCTTGCAATTGACTGTCATTACCACCCCCATAAATTATTCCACATGATGATGAAATTTTCTAAAAATGTCTTCGCACCTTCAGGTAATGGAGAATTAAAATATAAGAATGGTAAGACAGCGTTGAATTATTTTCTCCATTACCCCATAATGTGAATGTCAACTGTCAGTGCCTTCTCTAGTCCGATCAGCTGATTCTCCCTCTTCGATACTCCATGTCTCTGTCTCCCTGGATATCGTCAACGTAATATATCCCTGCACATTGGTTTTGCCCCACTCTTGATAATAAATTCTACCAGTAAGCATTGGATGCGACCCTGAGATCACTATTAGTGCTCACTGAGCTTAGAAAACAAAGAGACATGTTTGAGTGTTGACTGTTTGTGGTGCAACCTTTGACATCTAATATTCTTTAGTCCAGAGTAAAACGACAACTATTGTAATTGTTAAATAATTCATCACTGGAATAACTAATGGCAAATAATGAATTGGTGGAGGCTAACACTCAAAGGTAGATCACGATTTTATTTTTACAAACTATCACAATGATTATTATTGGGATGGCTGGCTTGTTTATAATAGTTAATTGACGGTTTTTCATTACATCTCCCGTAAAACTATTTATAGAAATTAATTTACGAGTGACAATCCCAGGCAGTACGTCATTTTCGGAAAACGACTGCATTCGTTTTCATTTTCTGTTAAATATAGTAATAGCGAGGAGGTTAACTATGGAAAAATAATGTCAATAAAGTTAAAGGATTTAAATATTATATCAAGTCTGTGATTTGCGTATTGAACTGAAATATCGAATTCAAGGCGAAGAGAGACAAGTCGTAGATGATGAAAAATGTAAAGCAGAAAGTGTAACACCTTCTATCTATTTTTTTTCCCGCTCGCTCGTGTCTACGTAGTCTCACCGAAAAACTATTAACGGCCTCGATGTATACGACTGCTCACTGCACTCGTAACTTTTTGTAAATAGAACAGAACGAATGACTGACTTTTTTATTAAAATTTCAGTTGGATTTGGAGCTGGTTCAGTTGGTCAGGATCATCCGTCACCATGTTGAGAGCAGCTGAGAAAAAAATCCTCTCCTGTGAGTTGATCTCTCTTGATTTCTCCATTATGCTCACAAATTTCCATATTTCTTCTTTCTTCTTTGTTATCGACATCGATGAAGGGATTAAGGTAGAAAACACTATTGGTACACAATAAGAATTATCTCCACTTTAGGTTTAAAAAATGCTTATCGAGGCTGGTATGTCGATATTGGGCCGTGTGTGGGTACGGCTGATAAAATATGGACAATAGCATTGAATGAAGATGCACCAAACACTCCAATTGTCCTTTTGCACGGTTTGGGTGCTGGAGTTGCACTTTGGTGCCTCAATCTCGATAGCTTATCAACTGAGCGACCAGTATATGCTATGGATCTACTAGGTATGAAAAATAAATATTGATATGTACAAAGAATAATGAATCACGATTTTATCAATGAGATGTAGAGAATATCCTCTCTACAAATTTGAATAAAAAATTATCAAGACCGTTATTCATTTCATTCAATCGTGGTCATCTCAGTGCTTGATAAAAATCATCTTGAGTAATGAAAATAGCTGTATCATGGAAGATAAATGTATACACGTGCACGTAAATGGATATTAACTGGTGATTACTCATCGTCAGATGAGAACGTTAATTCCCTGCTCTGATGAAGATGTACGTTTAATACTGTTGATTGTAGGATTTGGAAGGAGTAGTAGACCAACTTTTAGTAATGAAGCTAAAGAAGCCGAAACACAGCTTGTCCGTTCTGTTGAAGAATGGCGAAGAGAGATGCAACTTGAGAAATTCGTTTTACTGGGACACTCGATGGGTGGTTTTTTAGCAGCTTCTTACGCGATAAACTACCCCGAGAGGGTGAAACATCTCATATTAGCTGACCCTTGGGGTTTTCCAGAGAAACCAGCGGATGCTCATGCGAGATATCAAGTGCCATTTTGGGTAAAAGCCATTGCATACATGATTCAACCTCTCAATCCCCTCTGGGCTGTTAGAGTTGCAGGTCCTTTCGGTGAGTTTATTTCCTTCAATATTTTTTTTTTAACAGCCCAATGAATTTTTCTTCTCGTATTTCGCAGGACAGAGACTCATTGAGACAACGCGACCTGATATTGTTAAAAAATTTATACCGGTCTTGAAAGAAGATGCCAATGTCATTTTTCAATACCTGCATCAATGCAATACGCAAACACCATCGTAAGTACATTTGATTGAGTATTTTTAATTGATGAGTTAATTTTGATGAATTAATTACTGATTATTTTAGTGGAGAGAGTGCATTCCATGCGATGATGCAGGGTTTTGGATGGGCGAAGAATCCAATAATTAACAGAATTGATCAGATGAAGACAGAAGTTCCAATAACATTGATTTATGGCAGTCGATCGTGGGTGGATAATTCAGCGGGGGAAATAATAAAACAGAAACGCGTTAATTCATACGTTAATATTCAAGTGAGTATTTATAAAATTTTTAGTTATCGAAATTGAATTGAAATTAATTATGAATGCTAAAGGTTTGAGATATTTCAATAGGTAATAAGTGGTGCTGGTCATCATGTTTATGCAGATAAAAGTGAAATTTTCAACAAACATGTGCGTGAAGCATGCGCTCTGAGCGATAGTATTGCTAAATTGTCAGCAGAGGATGCACGACACTCAGTCAAAGTTCCTCCCCGACGTCTACCACCATTGCCCATCGATGGCAACACCTCAAAGTCCGAAGACGAAGGGGAAGTCGTTGAGACTGAATCCGAAAAACCCCCATCGAAAACCAGTTGAATGTAGCCTAACTACATAGCTCTAGTAAATTCAATTACTTCAAGTCATAACTAATGAGGATCTACCTTATTTTCTTCAAATATAAATATTTTTTATAACTCTAGAAGCTGAGAAAAAAAACGTCGATTACGTTTGAAAATCAGTCCTAACATAATTATATATAATCCACAATAATTTAATGAAAAAAAAAGGACAGTAATAAACTGGATTCTCTTTGTTATCAAATATTAAATTTGATGTCATAGTGTTTTCCATTACTATTAGTTTTGGTATAAATATTATATTTTTTTTATAGAAAAGAAAGAGCAATCGTAACTATATTGTTACCAGAATAAAACTGTGATGACCTTTATAAATAAATAGATGTTGAATTATTTATTATGTTGAATTATATATTTACAGTTTTCCATTGATGTACAAGAAAGGCTTTATTGTACTGTTTTCTGAGAATCGGGATCATTAAACTCGTCAATATATTGTTCCTCCTCGTAGTCGTAACTCTCGTCATACTCATCTGTTTCATTTTCATTGTTGAAAACGTCGCTATTCATTTTCCGCAACTCCCACCGATCCCTGTATTTATCCTCGATCTTCCTCTTTATGAGGAATTCGTCGAAGGCTTTCATTTCTTCAGCTGTATTTTGATATGCTCTCACGTTAACAGGATCAAAGGATTGCTGATAATTTACGGGCGACCACTGCCTTTCCATTGTGACAGGAGTGCGCACTTTATTAAGAGATTGCTTAACCTGTAATGTATTTTAAAATCATCAGAATGATTTTTCCTTTTATATAAAAATATGTGGGAGATGAGAAATTGTCAAGTTACCCGAGACATAATTATCCAATGATTTAAGCCAAGTATATTATGCTTCATTGGGGGTAAATCGATGAGATAAGGGGTGTTATCCTCAGGATCTTCCTCACTTCCTGCTTCTTCATTTCCCTCCTTTGGAGCCTCCTCTAGGAGTTTCTTCTTAACATCCGCCGGAAGTGTTGTGTACAAAGTTAATTGTGGCTTTGGTTGTGCAACCCTGACAATCGGAACATGATCTTCTCCATAATCAGCATCTGCTATTCGTTTCTCAAGTTCAATATTGGCAGCTACGGCCTTGTCTTTAACAAATTGTATTTGCGGTACAACGCCAATAACTTTTAATTGCGACAGTTCATGCCTCAAATTGAAAGCCATTTGTTCGAGAATTCGATTAGTTTCTTTTAATCGATCGGGATCATGTTCATTGCAGAACCAGTAGACCCGAACGACATGAAAGTCATTTGATAATTTGACGTGAGTGACTTCGATACTTCGACCCACAAGTTTCGTTGACATCTCGCCCGTTGTCATCATGTCTGTGATATAATTCATGAATATTTTATTCAAGACGTTTACTCGTCTTGTTACATGGGGACTAACGAGCTTCGAGGTATCAACGCTGAAAGCCTGCTGTGTTCTCCCTGGTCTTGTCGTGTGCCATTTTCTAAATCAAATAATCTAATCAGTGCTTTTAATCACATGTGTTGTATCATTATTTCAATAATTTATCTTAAAATCCTTACTTTTTGGGAGCATCTTCACGCATGAGTTTCCTCATGAATTTCCCTTGTCTACCCATATAATTTTTACTTGTCATACTCGATGTTGCGATGAATCGACAATAACAATACGACAATTGAATTTTACTAAACTTCAACATTCTAACAGACTAAAGTATAAAAGACACAAGGAAAAAACACAAATTTCAGGTTAATGCTCTCTATACTCATTACCACGTACATATATTTGGTTTTTTTTTGAGAGGGAGGGGATTGAGATTGTCGCGCGTTCATTCGATGCTATTTGACAAATAATGTAATTGCCACGCTGATTACTATAAATAGAAAAATCTAAGAATAGAGGAAAAATGTAGAGATTATCGTGGAGGATGGTATGAAAAGGTAGATTACAAAGAGGATAATTAGGTAATTCTTGGTAACAGATGAGGGAAGGGGAAAAGGAGAGAGATGATTGGTGGAGTGTGCGCAATGAAATCAACGAATGCCTAATACGCCACGTGAAGTAGAGCCAAAACATAAAGTTTTTAAATGATATATAAATGAAGAGGAGTATTGCATGAGACTAATTAATAAGTATGAAAAATATTTAATTAATTAAATAGAGTCGATATTTGCGTTGTGGGGGTGAGGATAAAGGGAAAAAAAATAGCTGATGAATTTCCCGCCAATATAGGAAAGTTATGGCGGCCATTAAGGATTTCCCGCCAAGTGATGAGGTATTGTTGGATGGCGCAGCAACCAGCGTGCCTGTTTCACTCACAGTTCACATCATTCACTGTTTGTAGTCATTCACTACAGTATTTTGGTTGTTTTGTTTACATATTCCACGAGTTGAAGCATCAATTTTGATTAAAAAATGGGTCAATCGGACGATATCGAAGATTCTACGTACAGTAGACATCAGGATTTGTGTCAAAAGCTTAATATGGATGCAACGGCTGCATCGGAAGCTTGGAGATCTTATTCAACGATTCGACAAAATTATACACTTGAGGTATTTATTTTTCATTCACTGAAAGAATATTGCGTCAATCATACGATCCCTCGTAATGTGAGGGATTTATATTTTTCAAGGGTTTATAAATTTCATTGGTTACACAATGATTTGTGGGTTACTGCTTGCTACCATCAACATCCAACTTTGTATATGTGTCATGTAGAGGTCCTGTGTGTACATGATCATTAAATCATTAAATCCGTCACAAAAAAAACCATTGGAATTATGGTGCCCTGCACTCGACGCATTAATTGGCATTAATTGAACAAATGATTGATGTTGATTGGTATTTAATATTTACTGTTACTTTTGGAATAGGGAGATCAGTTGCATTGGATTGGCTGCGCCTTATACGTGGCTTGTCGTGAATCTTCGACTCCCACGGTGGGAAAGCCAGGCTCCAACGTTGAGGGTAATTGCGTATCCCTGACTCGTCTACTTCGACTCTGCAATTTATCCCTCATCCAGTTTTTCAATAAATGCAAATCATGGGCAGATATGGCGAATATGCCACCGAATTTTCGTTCAAAGATTGATAAAATCGAGCGAAATTTTAACGTATCGATGGTGATTTTTCAAAAGTATCAGCCAATTTTCACTGATATTTTTAAAAATCCAACTGAGGACAGTTCAAAGCCAGCAAGAACACGCAGACACAAGACAGTACCATGCACACCAGCTCGAGCCTTTGAATTTGGCTGGTCACTCTTTATTTGCGTCAAAGGAGCCTTTCCAGATATCTCTGATGATCTTGTTAATTCCTACCACTTGTTATTGGTATGCTGTGACCTCATTTACAGCAATGCCTTGCTTGCCAATAGGAAAGACTTGTTGAATCCCAATTTTCCGGGTAAGCTAAATATTCAACGTTATTCACAAATTACATTGGCCTCAATTATTTACCAGCATTTATATTCTAGGCTTACCACCCAACTTCAATGATGATAATTTCTTGCCTCCAAGAACGGCCGATTGCATTTTACATCTATTGTGCGAACGTCATGAAGCTATCGGAGTTGAGGCCAAGGTCATTAAACAATACACATTGAGGAATCACTTGAACAAGCTGTTCAATGAGAAAATTCTTCGTGGCGATCAATCCAATTTTTCGGGAATTTTGGAGGCCCTCAATTTTGAGGGAAATAACAAGGCAATTAACAGAGCATATGAGCAGCATGTTCTCAACGTTGGGGATTTCGATGAGAGAATTTTTTTGGGTACGTCACAAACAATTGAATAATCAGCAACAGTCATTTTTTATTCTATCCCCTTCTTTTGTTCATTCAGCCATTGTTTTCCAATAGTCCGAACATCTGCTTGTTTTTCTCATTAATGCTGTTCTCTTTGATTTTAACATTTTCATTTTTGTTGTTTTAATCCCAAAATTTAATTTGCTTTTTTGCGATGGGGGTATGATAACACAGCCGAGTGGAGGAGAGTGAATCAAATTGGCGTGTCGAGTGTGGAAGTTGTTGGCGAGGACATTGCCATTCGGGCTAAAATTCCAAGACCGTTGGTAATCAGAGGTGGGTTTTTTTTTCATTGAAGAAAAAAAAAATGAGCAAAAAAGCTCGATAATAGGAAAGTTGGGGATTTATCGTCTACATCTTCCACAATACATTTACCGCTGTGAATGTAATTATTCTCGTGGGTGAACGGATTTTAATTAATATAAACGATTAATTTTCAGGTGACAATGCGAGTGAGAATATCGGTTCTCCTACTAAAATGTTGAACGTGACAGATCTTCAGGAGCAATGCCAGATGAAACGCGAACAAATCAGGGATCTAGCACCACCGACACCTCTTACAGGTCGAAAATATCTCAGAACAAAGGACATGACTAGCGTAACCCCAGTGGCAACAGCAACCCAGAGTGTTATTCACCTGCAGGCACTATTGGCTGGACGTCAACCAGCTCCCAGTGATATTTTGCTTGATATGTTTAAGAGTTGTGCAACAGACGTTACCACTCTAGTTGAAGTTAAAGTCAAGGAAATTGGAGAACGCTTCTGTGCTACATACAGCCAGAATTCTGAGGAGGGTGATACATTGAATCTTGATTTCGGTAAGAAGAGACTTATTCTCGCCCAGACGCTTTTCTACAAGGTACTGGAAATGATTTTGACTGACGAAAAGAAGATTAAGCCTGATTATGACATAACAAATCTACTGACCAACGAGGTTTTCCTCCAATGCCTGTTCGCCTGCTGTTTGGAAATAGTTATTTGGTCGTACAAGAACAAGGATCGAACTTTTCCTTGGATTCTCAATGCACTCAAAGTCGAGCCGTACAATTTCTATAAAGTAATAGAGGTGATTGTTCGCGCTCAACACCTAGCCAGAGACATTGTCAAGCACTTGAACGACATCGAAGAAAAAATACTCGAATATCAGGCATGGAAATCCAACAGCCCTCTGTGGCAAGCAATTGAAAATACTCCTGGAAGTGTACCAAGCTGTGAAGAGGTTTCCCTACCCGGTACTCTAGATTCTGTCGATTCAAATGCACCAGAACAACCGCTTCCTGTCTGCCGAAGAATTGTTCTGGACCGAGGCACACCACATCATGATGTACATCAGAGTCCAATATCAACAGCATCGGAGAGGTTTCAGTCACCTGGTGCAACATCTGGTGTTGCTAAGAAACGCCTGTTCACCGATAGTACCGGAAGAATCAGCGGACAGAGTCTTCTCAAAGATAAAATACCACACAAAGTGATGATCGATGGCAGTTCAAGAGTTTACCTGGCTGTCTCGCAATTAGATCAGAGCTCAAACTCAAGTAGAAAAAATTCCCTCACATCAAATGTAACTCGCGAACCCACTAAGCCACGAAAAACCGGTTCTGTTGCCTTATTTTTCCGTAAATTCTACATTCTCGGATCAATTCGCATGCAGACCCTCTGCAGCTCCCTCGCTGTCAATGATGTTGATTTGAAAAAGAAGATCTGGACTATTTTTGAATATTCCATCAAGGATCGAACTGAACTGATGAAGGACCGACATCTAGATCAGATTCTCATGTGTGCTGTCTATGTTGTTTGTAAACTGGCACAAATTGAAAGAAATACATTCACCGAAATCATGAGATGTTACAGATTTCAGCCTCAAGCCGAGTCTCACATTTACAGATCGGTTCTAATATCCAAAGCTAATAGGAGTGATAGAAATACCATTGACAATGAGCCACATAGTGTAAATGGTGATGTTGAGTCTTCAGTAGAGAATCAAAGCAACAATGCACCTCCGACACCCTCCAACATGGCTGGAACGTCTCAGACGTTTGGCGATGAGATACGAGGGGATCTTATCAAATTCTACAATGCTGTCTACGTACCTAAAGTCAAAGAATTTGCAACATTATCCCGTGGAAGTAATTCAACATTTTCACTGAGTCCACTACCGAGAAGCAAACCATCCACGAGCTCACCAATGAGACGTGTTACAGCCTGCGTTGTAACACGAACTCTCGATCCAAAAGCTATCCCAGCCTCTGTTGCACCACAGCTCAGTTACTGCTTCAGTCGCAGTCCCGCGAAGGTCAGTATCGAGGAAATTCCTTCGATATTTTTCATATGACGACAAACAATTTTTCTATTCTATTTTATTTTTTTTTTATTCTCCATCACCTTGTAGGACCTGGAGGCTATCAATAGGATGATGATCTCTGTCGATTCACGAAAGGCTGTCGGAAAACGACTGCTCTCAGATGACATGGATGTTGACGTGGCAACTGAAAATAGTTCCCCAACGAAGAAAGTCACAACAGCCCCATATCTAGCAAGAAAACTTGAACATATCATCGGGGAACGACGAACGCAAAATCAGTAAAAGTAGGCATGTGTCATTGGCAAGATTATATATCTTTACCAATACAATGCTTTATACTATCCAACCATTTTTATTATCTATTATCTAGCGAGGTCTCTAGCATTATGCAAAATTAACTCGATTGGCTACAATTATTGTGACATCTGCAGTGTATGTCGGTGGATTCATTTAGTTGAATTGAAGAAAGAAGGTGCTCTCCTTTGCGCGTATTCTAAGCAATTGATTATTTTTTTTTTTCTATTAGAGTAAATAAAAATTCAGGTGAAAACGTGGAGTCATGAAAAATATGAAAACTAAGACATTTTGTCTGTAACTATTTCTATTGAAGATTGAAAAATTTGCAGCATTATGAGCTCCTTCGTGCACATTAGACATAGTGACATTACACTATTCAATGATGCAATCACGAGTCCTCTAATGTATTTGTTTTCTTCCATACTTAGGTTTATAAGTATTTTCAAAATTATATGTTTAATATTATATGTTATTTTTGATCTCATAATTGGCTTTCAACTGTCATGATTATATATGCACTCTTCAGCCTTTTGTCAACTCGTAATAAACAGGGACAATCATCTCTGTTAATAGGCGAGATATATTTGATTTTTGCTAATTCTTGTGATTTCCCAACATTATTTTATTTTGTTTCTCATACAGTCTTCAATTAAGACGCTGTAAAATGTTTTATCAGGATACATAATAATATTTGTTATTATTAGTTTGTACATAGACGAAGGCTTCATAATAAACGACCTATTGAAAGTATATGTATGTGTATAATTTTTGAAGAGCTTTTTGTGGATAAAATAAATGATGGATGTGAAATTAGAGTGGCTGATGATGGGTGGTGGATTTGTTTGATTAAATTGAGGGACAGGAAGTGTCTCGTTATCGATAGGGCGTGGGTTAGTGTGAGTGAATAGTCAGCTGGAAGCAGTTGACAGACGCGCGTCGACGCTGAGACGCTGCGCGTCGCGACGTTAAAAGACGAGATTTTCTCCATTTACTCCGATTATTTTTTCAATTGGACAGAAAATTTTAATATTTCAATTGATTATCACACGTGAAGGAGGATGTGGAAGGATTCATAGGGCAAAATCTAAAAAAGCAAGCTCAACATATCGTGTTGCTGTGGATAAAATGCCAGTTATCGATGTGTATTGATTATCATTGTTATGCACGAAAAGGAAGAGGTCATTCTGTCACAGTTAAACTAGTGGATAATTATTTTGGAATTGGTGGAAAATTGATTAAAAAAATAGAGTTATGGATTCGACAACTGAAGGTGAACATATTGAGAAGCTGGAGAAGGAAGCAGAGAGTCTGAAAATTCGTCTTGAGGATGAGAGGAAGAAATTGAATGACGTTACACGTAAGATGATTTTTTATGGATATAAAATAGAGTAATTTGTAGAGAATGATACTAGAAAGATTGTGATTTCAGTTTGCGAAGTGGCAGACAGACTGCAAGCCATAAATTGTATAAATGTGAAGCCACGAAGAGTTTTGAAGGGACACCAGGCAAAAGTTTTGTGCTCAGACTGGTCACCAGACAAGCGTCACATAGTGTCGTCGTCTCAGGACGGTAAAATGATAATTTGGGATGCATTTACAACGAATAAAGAGCACGCTGTTACAATGCCAACGACTTGGGTGATGGCGTGTGCATATGCACCGACTGGAGCTCTCGTGGCATGCGGTGGTCTTGACAACAAAGTCACTGTCTATCCACTGAGCCTCGAGGATGATGTCACAACAAGGAAAAAGACTGTTGGCACACACACATCTTATATGTCTTGTTGTGCATTTCCCAACAGTGATCAACAAATTTTAACTGGCAGTGGAGACAGTACTTGTGCTCTCTGGGATGTAGAGAGTGGACAATTGCTACAGAATTTTCACGGTCACTCCGGTGACGTTATGTCAATTGACTTGGCACCCAGTGAAACGGGTAACACATTTGTCTCTGGAAGTTGCGATAAAATGATTCTTATTTGGGATATGAGGAGTGGTCAGTGTGTACAGAGTTTTGAGGGACACGACTCTGATGTTAATTCTGTGAGTAATTGATCCATAAGTCGATAAATTTCATTGTTATGCATTTATTTCTCCTGGTATTGCTTTCAGGTGAGATTCCATCCGAGTGGTGATGCTGTTGCAACAGGATCAGACGATGCAACATGTCGTCTATTTGATCTACGTGCTGACAAGGAGGTGGCAGTCTATGCCAAAGAGAGTATTATATTCGGAGCAAATTCGGTTGATCTCAGTGTGAGTGGGCGTTTGTTATTCGCTGGATATAATGACTACACTGTAAACATCTGGGATACATTGAAATGCCAGCGTGTTGCTCTTTTATACGGCCACGAAAATCGAGTCTCATGTTTACGTGTATCACCCGATGGCACTGCCCTGTCCACTGGTAGTTGGGACACTACACTTCGTGTTTGGGCTTAATATACTCTAATTGATCCTCAACTTGCCAAATTATTCACGAATTTAATTTATGCTACTGGACTTCTTCATTCCACTTTATTTATTTATTTATCAACTTATATTCAGTCGTATTTTAATGAAAAAAGTACCAACGTGCATTTAACTAACATTAAAACAGGATAGCCATAAAATGTTATTGTAAATCAGAGGTAAAGTTTAGAGTAATGATTAAAAATCAATGTATCTATGTACCAAAGAATTATTCACTTGAATTATCAGATAGAGTGTATTGACAGTATTTCATCTGTTACGTTGCTATCATCGATAATGAAATGTTTATTGTACTAGGCTGGTCCTAAGTTGCACATTTTCCAGAGAATTGATGAGCCATGTATCTGTATAATTTGTTATTAGAAAACTAGCCATTGCATTATTCGTCAGTTGAATCTTATATAAAAAGACTAATAACTAATAAAATTTAAGAATGTGTAATATAACATTGGCAAAATATTATTTTATGCAATTTCCCTTATCCCAGTGAAATCATAAATAATCCGAGTCAGTGAGATTTTTTTAAATTTTCACCTACAACCACGTGACATTTTTCTTAATTCTCTCGAGTTCCGCTGTGGGGCATTCACGTGTCTAAATTATGTATTTGTCAAGTGCTGTGCATGTGTAACATGACTTAGTGAATTTATACGATTCAAACTGTTTAGAGTAAAGCTAGAAGCAAAAAAAAAATAGCACTAATTGATTAGGATTAGACAAGCCGGTGAAATATCGCCTGCAACAATTGGTGAAGTATTGTTTGATTTAATTAGAGTACCGAAAGAAAAATGCCTCAATACACAGGTAATTACTGAGCTCTGCACTTGCAGGCAATTTTAACCTTAAATGTTACTGTTTTTTAATCCACTGGACGTTAAAAAAAATTCATCTGCATTCAGTTAAGGTGAAATGGGGAAAAGAAATATTTCCAAATGTCGAGGTAAATACGGAGGAAGAGCCAATGTTGTTCAAAGCTCAATTATTTGCACTAACCGGGGTACAACCAGAGAGGCAGAAAGTTATGCTGAAGGGAATGACTCTGAAGGATGATGATTGGGGAAATATAAAGTTGAAAGATGTAAGAATTTATTGGTAAATATTTATCGAGGATTATGTGAAAATATGGAATGTTATATTGCCACAGGGTGTGACGGTATTGATGATGGGTTCAAAGCAAGAAGATATGCCGGTTGAACCAATGGAGAAGCCCATATTTGTTGAAGATATGAATGAAGCTGAGATAGCAACAGCACTGGAGTTGCCAGCGGGTTTAACCAATCTTGGCAATACTTGTTATTTAAATGCCACTGTACAGTGTCTAAAAACAGTTCCACCACTTCGGGATGCATTAAAAAATTTTCCCGGTGGATTGGCGACTGTTGGAGGCAGTTCTGTGCCATCTTTGGTGCCAGCCCAGAGTATAACAGCCTCTCTTAGAGATCTCTACGAGGCAATGGACAAGGGGGCATCCCTTCGACCGATTGTTCTCGTTCAAATGATGCATTTGGCATTTCCAAGGTTCGCTGAAAAATCAGATCATGGAGGATTCCAGCAGCAGGATGCCAATGAGTGTTGGTCTGAACTTGTCAGAATGCTCCAACAAAAATTGCCCGCTGAAGTAACCATTTTTTTTACTTCAATCCTCTTTATTGTAGCTGAGGCAACATTAATTTTCCTTATTTTTCTTTCAGTCCAATTCAAATGCTGGAGATAATGCTTCTAAACCAAGATCCATCATTGAGCAATACTTTGGTGGAACGTTTGATACAGAATTAAAATGCGTTGAGACTGAGGATGAAGAACCGACCAAGGGAAAAGAGGATTTTTTGCAATTGAGTTGTTTCATCTCCACGGATGTTAAATACATGCACTCGGGCTTGAGAAATAAATTACAGGAACAGATTACAAAAATGTCATCAACACTGGGAAGAGACGCTATCTATACGAAAACTGTAAATCTATTATTATATTCTCTTTGCCATGTTAATTATTTTCCGTTTGTCAGGTGGACGATACGATATAAATAATATTCACGAATGATTTCAGTCGAAAATTAGTAGATTGCCGGCATACCTGACAATTCAATTCGTCCGTTTTTATTATAAAGAAAAGGGAGCAATAAATGCCAAGATATTGAAGGACGTTAAATTCCCAATGGAATTCGATGCATATGATCTTTGCACTCCACAACTTCAAGCTAAATTACTGCCAATGCGTGAGAAATTCAAGGCACTTGAGGATAAAAAAGTGGAGGAGGCACAGAGCTTGAGAGAGAAAAAGGGAAAAGGGAAGAATGAACCGGAGGAGGATAACGTGAGAAAGGAGCCTTTCTCCTTTGCAGATGGTATTTCATTGTAATAAATTTAAAAAAAAAACAGATGGGGATTTAATGAAATGATGGAATTTTTTGTGTAAATAGATTTGGGCTCGAATAACAGTGGTTACTACTCACTCCAAGCAGTACTTACACACAAAGGCCGTTCAAGTAGCAGTGGTCATTACGTTGCATGGGTACGTCAAAAAGGTAACACGTGGATAAAATGTGACGACGAGGCTGTCAGTGTCGTAACCGACGAAGAGATATTAAAACTCAGTGGAGGTGGTGATTGGCATTGCGCTTATGTGCTTCTTTATGGACCGAAAATTCTTCAAGTGCCAATTGAATCGGAGGAAGCCAGCAATACCCAATAACTCAAAAGGCAATCGATAATATACCGTTGACAAATTAATATTCATACCGAGCCACTGGAAAAGAAAATGGCAAATCGGTTTCTGCATGCCGATCACTCATCCAACGTTACTATTCTCACTCGTTTGAATAATATCATTTGATCGAGAGAGGAATGAGTTATTTTCTTTTGCATTTCGGTGGCTGTGTCAGTATGGTAACCATATGATCAATTGATTAATCATTGACAATTTATCATTACTCTTTTTTTTTCAACGATTCGATTTTATTAATCGATGTGTTCTTTTGTAATATTAATGAAATATAACAAACAGCATTTTCTTTTCTTTACTTTTTCCATTCCCACGCATTTTTCGTGTATTATCTTTCGCATTTATTCCTGGCAATTGTCCCTTTCCCCTTGTCCCATTGCCCGCTCTTCAAATGGCCATTTGTCTGATTACGTAAAACAACAAGTGAACAATTAGGCCAAAAGTTGCACAGTTTACCGTAAATCTCGTTTTAATATGTAACTAAAAATTAACAACCGAACAAAAAATCTTCGATGCCCACACGATTACACTCAACGTGGGTAATCTTTCATGTAATCTAAAACGTAATCAGTTAGTGGATGGACGTCCGCGAGACAACACAACTCTCATCAGTCGTCCGTAGTTGAATACCACTAAAACAACTATTCCAGTACTGATTAATTTTCAACCGTCTCCGCATGTTTTGCGATAATGAACGCCAAATTCTTCAGACCCAAGTCAATACGTAATTTCTTCGTACGTCTACTGAGAAGGTAAAAATACAATACCACCACAATTACACTCATTATTTCCAGTGTTGTAGATAAGAGGCGATGATTGCTTGTCGTATATAAACCGAAACGACAAACTTGCGTGATGCATCGACTATAATAGTGCCTGTCGGTTAATAACGACTCAAGCAGAACGAAAAAAGGAAAACAATAAATAGAGCAGTGTAATTCCGAATGCTCTACATCACATTTTTCATGTTAACTGTATTTTTCAGTTGTCAATGCAAGTAGCAGACTTGATTGATTTGTTTTGAAAGAATAGACAGGCTAAAATTAAATTTCCAACTTGGAAAAATCGTGAGGGTCCTTTGCGAGGAAAAATCAAAGTGGACGGCCTCTGAGATCTTTCTCCAAGGGAAGCTGCGTGTTGTTAAAAGGCAAACTATGATTTTTTTTTATATATCCCCACACCGAGAAAACCTGAAACGGATGAAAAAAAGTCGAGAAAAACCTTGGAGGATTCGCGTGCGTCACGAAGAGTTGCAAATTTTTTTCAGTGAGAGAGCGTTGAGAAAGAATCTTTACAATAATAATAAAAGATAGACAAAGAGGAATAATAGGAACGACTGAAGCATTCGGAGTAACAATTAGAAGAGATTCGAAGGAAAGGGGTTAAAGGAGAGAAATGAAATAAATGAATCTAAAAGGTCTAAAAGTAAAAGGAAGAAAAAAAAAAGGAGGGAGAGAATGGGGGATTCGGGTGAGTTCGGATTGTTGGGATGGTGGTCGAACAAGTGCGAACGCCGGGCTTTCAGTTGAATTCCTATCCCCAGACCCGAGAGCCAGTACTCCCCAGCCATTTTCCTCCTCTCGTCCCTCCAGGTCCCTCTTGTCACACCAGTCCACCAGAACCCACCAGAACCCACCAGATCCCACCAGCCAGTTGGCCACATTCACTATGGACTATGGCTCTTTTCACCTCACACTTTTACCCATATCGTTCATTAAATTGAAGTACTCATCAATCCAATCAAATCAGTAGTGATACCGACGAGCAACCACCAGTTATTCAACAATTGTGCTGTGCTCCAAAATAAATGAACATGTGAATATTCCACATAATTGTGTTAAACGAGAACTTAGTCAAGTGGGTTTGAACGGTTTGGACGGTTTGGACGGTTTGGACTTTCCCTATCTTGTGGCAAACACAAATACAAATGCAAACACACACACATGTGAATGCAACGTACACAGCTGTACACAGCAGCCCCATCTCCTCGCTATCCCTTCATTGAGTTGACAGTTGGCTTCGTAACAGAGACTCTTGGTTACTATACAGCGCGTGTGATTTGGGCGTGTTTCTTTCTCTCTTCTCATCTCGTCTCCTTTGTCGTGTGATGGTGTGTCTGTAAGGTCTGCAACCGACAGTCACGTCCATTGATTCCAAGATTCCTTTTTCCAGACGGCGCATGTGAGCTACTCATTTTATCCCACATCAATCCTATTCCATTACGATATTTCCCATGGATTTGAGATAACCCAAGTATCGTGACACAGTTATCAATAGTTCTCATTGCTGAGGTGAAAATGTGAAAATTGTAAAGGAAAATGGTGATTCATGATGTGTTTTGCATTTGTGGTTGTATGGGCAAGTCTTCCTGATGATTTTTCGAGTTTGTTGGAGGAAGACCAATGAAAAAGCCAGCAAGTGCTAGACTCTCGATAGGATGGCTATCTGATTTTAATCTCAATGTGTACATTTACCCATGGATTCAATATTAATGGGGATACATGAAGCGCGTCGGATGCGTGAAGAAAGCGACATAATCAGATCACCCACGTACATTTGTTCGAGAAACGCCCAGCTGTGAATAACAATAATTTTCCAGCTCATAATTATTAGGTGTCTTCATTAAATTCCATTGTTGGGCCATAAAGATAAAGGGGCAAACAAAATAACGAAAGACTGCTGAATCCTCCGAGTTCAGGATCCATAAAAAATCTCAACGAACTGATTTCATGAGTTTTCCACTAGTCGCCAGTGAAATATCATAGCCTGGACAATATTAATAAATAGATAAAATAAAATAAAAATGGGTAACTGTTTTAGCAATCCGACAGATCCCGAAACAGAGAAGCCTGATAGAATTGGTAATCCAAGTATTGAGGCTGTTGCTTCTCAGGCGAGTCCAGTACCGACACCACCACCTGATCCTATCAGGCCTGTGCCACAGATACCAGATACTGATGTACCAACGGCCAAAGTATTCATAGCACTTTACGATTACGATGCCAGAACTGACGAGGACTTGAGTTTTCGTAAGGGTGAGCATCTGGAGATACTCAATGACACACAGGGTGACTGGTGGTTAGCCAAGAGCAAGAGAACCAGACAAGAGGGATATATTCCCAGTAATTATGTCGCCAAGTTAAAATCCATCGAGGCTGAACCGTAAGTTGTCCTATTATTTTTTAAATAATTCAACACCCACTGAATTATTCACTGCCTATTGATCATATTGGAATATTTTCACTTGATAAATCCACACCGACTCGCTCCATTCAGTTTCAATTCATGATTTATTTATTGCATTAGCTTTATATGTCAGTAGTATAGCGAGGTAATTATGGTATGGTTGGCTGATGGTCTGCAAGAGGGGCACTGCTAAAACTTTCCCTCGGTATTAATATTGAATTTGAAGACCGCGAATATTCCATGTTTGGTTACTGTTTCTTTGCAGATGGTACTTTAGGAAGATCAAACGCATTGAAGCTGAGAAGAAATTGTTGCTGCCTGAAAATGATCACGGAGCTTTCTTGATTCGTGATTCAGAGAGCAGACACAATGATTATTCCTTATCCGGTATGGATTAAAAATTTTCTCTGTTGCATTTCCATTGCGATATTAATTGTTAACAATTATTCATAGCAATTGATCGATCATGCGTTTAAACTGAATTGCAGTTCGCGATGGCGATACGGTTAAACATTATCGTATACGCCAGTTGGACGAGGGTGGATTCTTCATCGCCAGGAGAACAACATTCAGAAATCTCCAGGATCTTGTTGAACACTACAGTAAAGACGCCGATGGTTTATGCGTCAATCTCTGCAAACCCTGTGTCCAGGTAATACCAGAATTTTCATTCATTCACTGTGTATTAATTAGAATGTGTGCATTGTCGAGGGATTCACACAACAAACAAATTCGCTGATTCAATCGTTCTAATTTTATAACACGTGAAAGTTTTATTTCGTGCGTGGTCGATATGAAATGTAAGTAAACTACATACTGTGAAATTCCCATTGCGAGGATTTCAAAGTGGAGCATTTGGAGACAATATAACAGGCAGATTCTCATAGTCATGGATTTACAATAGATTGAGTGATTGTTTCCAATTTTTTATGACCAAACTAATTGCAGATCCTTGACTATCAGGGCAATAAATAATTACATATTCATTGCATCAGAAATTTATACTTGGAGGTTCGATCTCTGATTAGACTGTATTTCTTTCTGTTATTGCTTGCCCTACTTCCCGCTGGACTTTCTTGGTAAATTGAATGTCCGAATTATGAAATATTTTCATAAACAAATAACATCTTGTTTCAATTTGATCTCCTTAATTAATTGTATTATTCTCAATCCTTATTTTATTTTATTGATCTCTGTCTTCATCTATTCATCTCAATGTCCACAATAATTCACAACGAAACACCATCACAGCACAAGCCTGTTCTATATGGCATTATGTTTTAAAACAATTGAGAATAGTTTTAGAAGCATTAAACCAAACGAATGGGCACAAGATCAAGGGAATGTGTATGTCACGTTATCCACGTTTCAGCAATTTAGTCGTCTTGTGTTGCCACCGACCGATCAGCGGTTGGAAGCACACGATGGAATGTCAACGGGACGTATCTGATTACAATTTATTTTCCCCTCGTGTTAATGCAACCTCTCTATCAAATTCCAAATGAAGGCTGCTTTAAATTTAGAGATAACAAAAAAAAAGAACAATCCAATCAATCCTAATCAATGATTGGGACTCACTAAATAAATCAGAGAAGAACCAAAGAAAACTATTAAAACTCACAGGATCCATCCAACTAATATATTTTCTGATAAATTTTAAATACTCATCAAACCGATGGAAATCTGTACGCCATTTATGAGATATATTTTTCATAAGGAGCTGTTGAACCGACTGATGCACTTGGTGTTTTATTAATTTATTTCTACGCAGTACTTCCTTCATTTTAATATAAAGGAGAAAAATAAAAATGGTGCTATGTTTGTAAAGATAATGCCAAAAAACATTTGGAATATCTAATTTTATAAACATTACTGGAATGGTTTGGAATGACGGAGGGGTGATGTGAGGGTCTAAGAGCAATACAAATTCTGGAAATAATGAAGAGGTTCATTAATTCATCATTATCACCTACTCACACGCATTTGTTTTGTGATTTGCATTGTGCTATAAACAATCTTCTTCTCTATGACTGATTCATCTTATTGGTTACATTTACTCTATTAAGGAGCTTTGTAAATGTAGTTTGTCGACAATAAGGTGAGGAACAGTAAATAAAAAATTAAATGGACAAAGGATTGTGAGTGGTGGGCGCAATGTTGAAGACAACTCGTTGCACAATAAGGGATTGACTGGCGCGTATTTTGTTTGTGTTGACAGGTGGAGAAACCCGTGACCGAAGGGCTAAGTCACAGAACGCGAGATCAGTGGGAGATTGATCGATCGTCATTGAAATTTGTGAGAAAACTTGGACAGGGCCAGTTTGGTGAGGTTTGGGAGGGCCTGTGGAATAACACAACGCCAGTTGCCATTAAGACACTTAAACCAGGTACAATGGATCCCAAAGATTTTCTCGCTGAGGCACAGATCATGAAGAAACTCCGACATAGCAAGCTCATACAACTGTACGCTGTTTGCACAATGGAGGAGCCCATCTATATCATCACCGAGTTGATGAGGAATGGCAGTCTACTGGAATTCCTCCAAGGTATGCTCTACCCTCAATTATAATTTTCTGAATTGCTCGTTTATTCGATGAATTCCACAAGCATTAAATTCCGTATGAATAATTATTTTTCCTCATGTGATAAAGAATGAAGAAAAAATTCAACGCGTTTGACTCATCACGAGTACCGCGATAAAATAGTACGTCTGGGGAAGTGGCGCGAGAGATAAGAATAAGTCCCGATGGGTCGAGATAATATTTAAATAATTTGGATATTTGCAGGAAAAGGCAGAGGTCTGAAGCTCCAACAATTGATCGATATGTCAGCGCAAATAGCTGCCGGAATGGCATACCTAGAATCACAAAATTACATCCACCGAGACTTGGCGGCCCGTAATGTTCTAGTTGCCGATGGTAATGTCGTGAAAATTGCTGATTTCGGTCTTGCTAGGTTGATTAAGGAGGACGAGTATGAAGCAAGAATAGGCGCTCGATTTCCCATTAAATGGACAGCCCCCGAGGCTGCTAATTACAGCAAATTCAGTATTAAATCGGACGTATGGTCGTTCGGTATACTCCTGACTGAACTTGTCACGTATGGACGTATTCCCTATCCTGGCATGACAAATGCTGAAGTATTGCACCAAGTGGAGCACGGCTACAGAATGCCATGTCCACCAGGTTGTCCAACAGCTCTCTACGACATAATGCTCGAGTGTTGGAACAAGGATCCAATGAAGAGGCCCACATTTGAGACACTCCAGTGGAAGCTCGAGGATTTCTTCACAATGGAGAGCTCTGAATACAAAGAAGCCTCTGCCTACTGAGTCTTAACCATCACTACACCACTATCCTAATGAAATTTGACATTTTATCCGCTACCAGGGCATTTGAAATATTTTTCATTGCATTGGTTTTTAAATCATTCTGGCTGCCATAGACCAAGCGATAAAAAATCACTTGCACTTGGATATTATCGAGAATTGAACACTCAATGTGTTTTATATTTAAAACCTCGAGAGATAGCGAATCGCCTCTTGAAACGGCTTTATCTGAGATCAACACGGATGCGTATGTTACTCGCCGGAAGCGCTTCAACCATTGGTGATTGTTTGGCATTTGAATAGTGATATCATCGCTTCCAAGTATGAAAACAAACTCACAACTATTCAATATAAATCACCATTTTTTACCAATTGTTTTTTTTTTCTCTGGTCTTGTTTTGTTTTTGGTTCTTGTGGATCGTGTGAGTGAGATTTTTTTTTCATTCAATTTTTTATTTCAATAGACATTTTACTCGTTTTTCATGGATTTTTTAATCGGTCCGTCCAACCGGCAAGACAACTCACGACCGTCAATAGCAGACAAATTATAGTACTCTTGCCTCGGTTTATTCAATCAATTTTTACATTCAATCTCCTATTTGCTCACACGATCCGTTTGTCAATGAACGTCAATAGAATTCCAGAGCAATGTAATTTTTAAGGTGATTATGAAAAAAACAAGAAAATTAATTATTGTTCAGTGTTGAATAGAAATTAAGATATGACGAGTAGTTTATCTACCATAAGTTTAAAGATTCATCGACTTTGAAGTGGAAAGAGGCGAGACAATTTTTCTTAACGAATTCCGGATAATTTCCTTGGATTTGGTGGAGCTCATGTTTTTGTACAGATATCATTTTTGACGACACACAAAGGAAGTGAAAGAACAAATGGAAATATGACGAAAAGGACGTGGAGTCTTAACACCTCGATAATAACGACAATTTCAAGCATAAGATACCATTGATACATAAATAATTATGTATGCATATGTGTGTATACATATAGTATACATACGTATAGTATTATACATAGTAGGAAGAGTAATGATAATATTTTATATTAATTGTAAGATTACCGAAGAACAAGAAGAAAAATAAAAATCGAGAGGATGAATGTGAAGGGTCGTACAATGAGACAGTCTTCGACTGATTAACGAACATGTTTAACAGAAAATTAAATCCAGGATGGACGAATAACGAAGAACTATATTCCTTTAAATTCAAGAACGGGCACTTGCACGATTCAAGTGATATTTGTTATAAAAACATGTATTCTAGCGCACCGTGTGAAAATTAAAATGAAGTGGCTTGTGAGTTGCGTTAAATCGATCGCTTAAATCACACTTTCAACGCAATTTGTCGATTAACAGATTAATAATTAATTTTTCTACTCAACAATATCGAGAATTTCATGTTAGTCTGATATTCCCGTTCTTGACGTCATCACGATATAAATGAAAAAAAACGATAGAGAAAGCATGAAAAATGTTTTCTAAAATGTAGGAACGTCCAACAAACATCGACGAGCGTACATTATAAATAATTATTTTAAAGTTTCCGTCGAGTTTATACTTCCTTTGTCAGTTGGCCTCCTTTTCTACTATTTTACTATTATTAAATATCATTGCATTAATAATAAAAACAAGAATGAACATATACGTAGAAATGAGAGTTTTGTTTTTGAATGTGCCGCATTTAATTGTGTGAATCAGGGTGGATATCCATTGTCGAAATTCCCTAGTGCCAGAATAATCTAGTGACTCGATAAAACGCAGGTGTGAGCAATCTTGTTCTTGTTCTTCAACAGCGGGGAGAGGGGGAATCGCCAGGTAGTTTTTGATGACAGGTGTTCTCAGACGGTTTCACGAGTTTCACCGATCATCGGTCTTCCTACCAGTTCTCAGTTCGCTCTCGACATTCCCCCTCAATCACACGTGGACCCAAAAATCCTATCACTTCCCTAATCTATTCTTCTATCAATTGACAAAATTTTATCGACATTTAAAAATAATTTAGAGCTTCCGAAGCTCAAACAATGGCCAAAGATTTTACGACAAGAATCCGGTGAAAAACCGACGCTTTTCACTCGCTCCCTCGACGCGAATATTTCAAGTTTATTTTCATTTTTAGTTCCTCCATGTCTGTGTGTTTTGAAGTTCCCGGGGTGGGAAGAGTGTAATTAGATATTATGATAAGAGCGGAGAAATCAGAATGCGGGAGGAAGAGCTCGAGATATCACTCAAGGTAATATTTAAGTAATTTATTTAACAGCTCGCCCTCGGCTCCAATGCAAATGCGCTTTTTATTGTAATTACGATTGTATTTTTAATTTTTTTTTAATTGACGTATCAAGTGTCCTCTACCTACGAAAAAGCTATATCCGTTGTGAGAATACGAATAATAAAAAAAGCTGAAGTAATTTTCTCGTTCTTGCGCTGGAATGCTAAATAGCATTTATTCGCGGAGTTGGCGAGTTTAATCTCATTGGCGATGTTTTGAATTTATTACCAACATTAATGGAAAATAACGCGAGGTAAATTTGGATTGAATATACGGGATTGAGAATACGCCGAGGTGCGACTAGCTTTCCAGTTTTCTTTGCATTTAACGGTACTGGCCTCTTGTATACTCGGTCCACCAATTCCCACAGGTTCCACACATAAACCTTGATATATCAGTAATACGAGGAGCTAATTACTGCCTTGAAATTCCACGAGGTGCTGATTAAAAAAAAAAATGAACAAACTTTCATAAAATTCAATTCAAATACCGGCGATGATTTTTGACCGTGGCTTTTTTTTTTCTTTCTTTTCGTGCGGTTGGGCTAATTGAGAATGGAAGAAAAGGTGGAAATAACGGCGGCTGTTGAATATATATTTTGAAGATGCACATGGCATGCCACGCACTTTACTCAACCTGTGAATACAACTTGTATATAGACCGGTTTTTTATATGATGCCCAATCGAACCGGTGTAAGTCCCTTTCCCCAACTTATTCGGCAATCAGCGCGTTAGCATATGTGAATTTTGCTGGTGTGTTGACTGCACCGTTATCATGAATATATTTAATTGCATGGGAGAATTGAGGAATGCCACACGGAAAATCCGGATGATGGAGGGCCCGAAGAGAATAACAGATAGATTGGGTTTTATTGCATTTCAGGTGGTGATAGTGGGAAATGGGGCAGTAGGGAAGTCGTCGATGATCCAAAGATTTTGCAAGGGCACCTATACGAGAGATTACAAGAAGACTATTGGTGTTGATTTTTTAGAGAGACAGATAGAGTGAGTGATTTCCACTGTTTCATTAAGATTTTGGGGAAGACACTTCGAAGAATTGATTGGGTTGATTGGTATTGATTGGTATCGTAGGGTGGATGGAGAAGATGTTCGATTAATGCTGTGGGATACTGCTGGACAGGAGGAATTTGACGCTATCACAGCGGCTTATTATCGAGGTGCACACGCTTGTGTACTCGCATATTCAGCAACCGATAGAGATTCGTTTGATGCTATACCATCTTGGAAACTCAAGGTTGAGAATGAATGCGGTGAAGTACCAACGGTCTTGGTGCAAAATAAAATTGATCTGGTTGATCAGTGTCAGATTGATCCGTAAGTTTTCATTATTTTTTTATCATTCAATCGTCAAAAAATGATAGTCAATGATTTATGAATAGAGAAGAGGCAGATAGACTTGGTCGAGCTCTCGGCTGTAAACTCCTACGAACTTCTGTTAAGGAAGACGTGGGTGTTTTAAGTGTCTTCAGGCACTTAGCTTCGAGGTGTCTCCTCGATATGCGCAGATGTGAAGATGATTTTCAAGATGACCTAAGACTGTACTCATCCGGGCCTAGATCACTCTCCGTCATTAGTACGTACAACAAATTATTTTTTTAAAAAATATTTTCCATTTGTAAAAAATGGTACCTGATAAAATAAGACAGGGGTATGACGCGTCGAGAGTGCATAAATAATTCATCGAGTGAGAAGACATTCTCGGTCAATACAATTTGTCCACGACTGCTTTGAGAAAAGTAGAGAGTAACTAGAGTAAAATTGGAGTGAAATTTCTCCGTAGTCGACATAAATGGGAGTGACATTCCAAAGGTTGACTTGGTTGGTAGAATGATGAGTGTTTGTCCCACGACCGCCTTTGAAATCGTCAATACCCTCATTCTGGCAAAAAAATATTTCCCAACATGAATGTCTTCTTCCCTCAATATTATTATTATTCTCCATCTAAGGACGCTACCATGAAAATCGATAAGCCTTGATTTATTTTAAAAATGTGTCATTCTATCGGCGATCTTATTTTTTCCCCTCGTCAAGACTCTTGTCAGACTCTTATCGAGGGTTGATTAATAATTTATTTGTGTTACAGGTGCTTTTAGCCCGAATGAATGTACCCGCACTAGCGGAAACGGAACAATTGTTCTTCGTCCTACTGGTAAACGGCACCACAAGAAGAAAAATTTCGTCAAGAGCGCGTGCCGACTCTTGTAATGAATACTCAAAAAAAAAAATGTATTCTCTCCTACAACCTTAGTATTAAGCAAATGAACTGCCGCTGGGAATCAAAAGTAAGGATACTCCCCGCCTATTGTCCTCCACGTATTGCTTCAAGGACAAGCAAAAAAAAGAGGCATTTTTGTCTAGAGTATTATACATTGTACCTTCTTGTTTTGTACATATGTATATGTATTTCACTCTTAATTACTCCCTCTTGAGAATTGGGTTTCACTCTCTGAGTGATGTAATTTATAAAAAGGTTAATGTGAGATATAAAATTAAATAAAGTATATTATAAGTTATAATAAATATGGTAGTCTCATTTAAGGACATCACAAGTTGCTTGGAAGTTTTACGACGTTCAAGTCCCCAGTGGAGACTCTATTTTTCTCATAAAACTTGAGTGACAATTTTAATCTTAACCGTGTAAGTATTCTATGTATGTGTAGTGTCCTTCACCTTTCACAAGGACTTGGATAGAGGGAGTCAACGCCCCTCGTTGCTCACTCCACAACCTTCTCCTATATTTCAACGTTAAACTCACACGTATGCAGCATACGCATCACTTCTGCCTCTAAAATACACCCGTCTATTCGAACACGCGATCCCAACGAAAATTTTTTATCCTAACTAATAAATTACTCCACCAATTAGTATTCAATAGTTTGTTCTTTTATTCTGATTTATCACAAAAAAAATGGAATAACAATTGGATTTCAAATAGTTTACTTCCAGTTAAAGAAGAAAATAAGGAATGGGATTCAGCCGATAAAGGTCCCTCAAACTTAAACAATGCAGGATATTATGCTTGACCAATAGTTTCTACGATTAGCTTCAAATGGAAATGGATTCTCCTCTTCTATAGCGGTGTAATTGAAAATATGAGAACAATCCGATTCCACCGTTAAATAAAAACGATGAGACACATCTAAATAGCCCTCGAGGTAAAACTATTGAATATGGATTACAATAGTTTGTCGTAATCTAGAAATAGATTACTAAGAATAGATTAGTTGAAACTCTGGTGCACCTACATTCTGGGCATTTAATATCTTTCGATTATTTGTGAGATATTGAAATGATCGTAACGATTTGATTCATCTGCAGTATTCAAACTATCGAATGCATTGCATGTATTTTGTATGCGCCAGGCACAATCATCGATAGAGGTGATCATTGATTCTCATTCCATTTCAATAGTGTTCATCTTGTCGATGTAATCGAGGAGACCTTGAAGGCGCTTTTTAACGCGCTTTTGGTCGTCCAGGGTGCAGCCAAGGATAACTGATTCAAAGATCTTGTCCGAGTGGCCAATGGATTGAGAAGAGCAGGCATTCATGAATGCAGCGCAACGTTGACGAGTCGATGTTAAATCAGTTTTGAGACTTATCACCAAGCTGTCGATCAGTCCATTAACCTGATAAAAATTAACAAGATGTCAATGAAAAATTGTATTAAACGATTTTCAACAATAAACCATTGGCGTACTTGATGAAGTGCGTCTTGTTGAATAGGATCACGTTGTACTTTCACCATTACTTCAACAGTTAGACATCTGGAGCTGAGACGCTCAGCATAACGTAAAACATCATCTTTATCAGCTGTAAACAAAATTGGAAGAAAAAATCATAGAATCTTATAAATTCCAAATTGTGTGAAATATTGTCGACGGATTGTGCTGTGTTCTAGACTGATCTTACTGACTGTTGGATTACTCAACTTACGTTCTTGAAGGCATCCCAGGACTTCATTATTTTTTAGAGTATCGAGTGTTGTCAGCATGGTATCTTTTTCTTCTTCAAGTTTTAAAGCATCACGTCTCAATTGCTCCACTCTGAGTTCAATTTGATCGAGTATGCTGACTAACCTGTCTTTAGGCTGTTTGTATTCGTGATCACTACTCTCCATTACCTGGGGCAATGGGCTCTCCGTATTCATGCTTAACATAAATTGAAGGATAGTACTTCAAATGAAAATAAAAACCGGCGCGATATTAACCGTACTGATGGTATTGCTGTCGATATTCAAAGTGGAAGAAATGCGGTTTGACTGTTTTGTTCGTGAACAATCTAAAGAAATACTGAATGTATAGTTGGTGGTGGCAGCACAAGCTGTGCACTCTATATGGCCTTCGTTCGATTTTTTGAATGGTTCTGATTTAATTGATTGATTGATTATAGAAAATAAGTTCAACCACAAAAAAATCCAAGAAAAAATCATACTTTATTTTCATCTTTTGGCTTCCATGATTTCAAAAATATTCTATCAATTATGTTGTTCACTATAAAATAGAGCTCCAATAATAACTCAATAGATTTATTTTAATAAAATGTTGTAATGGTGACATGCAGCATCGAAACTCATTCGATATTGAGATTACGATTATGACTATTTATTCAACAAATAATTGTCCCATGATGCTATTATGTCAATAATTGGATAATTATTGGAGGAGAGAATCCAGTCTTGATTTCCCTAAATATGGTATATTGCTAATTAATGAAGATTTGATTGCAAAATTGGTACACTGTAGGGTTTAAAGTAATGGACATTTGTGTCTATTCTATTTTGAACATTAGTGAGTCTACTCAGCGATGAAATTATCATGTCAATAATCTATTGGTTGAGGATGCTACGCAATTTCTCCGAAATTCATGTGGCCAGTCTCCTTGGCATGTTGGCTGGCAGCTGTCTGTCCACTCAGATGAATATTGCAAACGAGACATTTGACAGTGAAATTTTGTACGTCCGTATACTGCCGACTAGATTTAGCTTCTTTCGCTAATTGTCCAGCTTCTACGAGTACCCTCTCATCATCAGTTGGAAAAATTGTCTGAATACTGCCACCCTGTAACGTTCCATTAATTAAACAAACGTAAAAATAAATTAATCCTAAGTGATTTGTGAAATTTCGTGGAGTAACGCACGTCGTTCGGTTCCAGATAAAGTGGATCATAATGAATTCCATCGAAAATGAGAAATACTCTTTGACCATAATGTTGATCCTCTCCGAATCTATTGATAATACCATTAACACTATTGACAACAGCTATTTCCAAGCCGAAGAATTTTGATAGAATGGAGAGTTCTATGGCACCACCCCATGAGTCAGCTTTGAGGATCCATTCGCAATAGACTGAGTTGGGTTTTCCAAGGATTGCTTCGGAGTATTCATCAGGATCAGATGCTACAGAAGTGGCTATTATTTCTCGCATATAATCGGAGCATGTTGGATCGACTCTACCTAAAAAAATCAAATGATTTAAATTCAATGGTTTGTTGTGGTGAAAATCCAACAGTTAATAAGTAATTACCATTGAGTACATATCCAACACTGGTAAAAAGGCACGAATTGTCGGCAGGAACAATTTTCTTCATGAGCATACCAGGTGTGTCGGAGAATCGCTCGGTATTAATGACATGGGGTCTTGACTCTTTTTCGTCATTCGACAGATTCATTGATTTTTCTTCAACAATTAGAGTATCGCCAGACACAATACCAGTATCACTCAGTGTTGAATTTAAAGAGCTTAGGTTTAGTACTTTTGGTGGAAATCCACTGAGTACATGGAGTGCATTAACATCAAACCCCGTGACGTCAGATAATTTTCGTTTCAATTCCGATACTGTTTTGCTCGATGATAATCCATTGACGACTTTCTGGCCTGTTTTAGTTTTAACACGGAGGACAAAATCAGCCATTATAAGAAAACCGATGGAACGATATTCACAGTAATCACAGATGCTCCAATAAAATCACAATCAGCCTCTCCACTTATCGTTTACAATCAGCTACTCATCGAGCGCCGAATTCTTCGTAATTTTCGTAATGTTACGGACATATCAGTAATTATTTTATTTCATAAATAGAAATTCATTGTAAATATTTAACTAGAAATTTTTTAGTCGAGTCGATAGAAATTGTACTATGGTACTGGCCTTATAGAAATAGCTAGAGCCGAGGGTTAGTCATTGATATGATTGGTAATAAGAATCAGAGAAATCATCAGTGCTGCAGTCTTATAGTCGCGGAACTACTTCATCAGAATTTTAAACGTCGGTAACAGCTACAATAACAATAGCGCGAGCATTTCAATTTTTTTCATTTATATTTATTTCAATAAATATCTTATTATTTCCTTTTATCAGTAATCTCATATTTGATACAGTTAAATTTTTCGTTAGAAGAGCGTTATCATAGCTTTGTACAAAATTGATTTACTATCACAATTTATCGTACATGATCGTTTTCTGTGAAAGTTAACAGAAAAACTATGCAACCAGATATTATACCCCACGTTGCTGGACTAATATTTTTCATTGCAGCAACAACAGAAGCTAGTGTTGTAGTCGGGAAAAAACATTTGCTCGAACACTTTTGAGGTGATAGTAATTGCATTTTCCCCCTGCCAGGATTCATCTGGAAAACAACAGGAAAATAGATACATGAAATAACGTCTTGATGGTTTTTTCCGTTTTTTTTTTATCAAATGAATTAACATAATAATTGCTCTGGGGTCAAGGAGTCTATGGATTTTGATACTCAATTCTTTCATAAACATTTATGAAGAGAGGCCCAACAAAGAGATGATTCGATTTTTTCTAAAAGGATAGGATTATTAGGAATTGTATTAGTGAAGGTGATATCATGCGTAGTGTGATAAGGAATACTTCCTACCTGGTACGTGGGGTGATTGATAATAGGTATGTTCAAGTCGTTGGAATTTTTTCCCTCTTGAGAATTGTCATTGGCTTCAATATTTACGTAACTCGTATTCACATTGTCCACAAATTTTATCCAATCATTGGATATCGAGGGTGCGAAAAAATCCTTATCAATATTATCACCATTAACATTAATTGGTCGTAGAAAAACGTGCAGTAATATTCCATGTATGACATAAATTGCCATCAGATACAAAAAGCTGCGGTCAATCCGGCTACCGACATAATTACTCATCTCTATCCGTATTTTATTCTGTTATCTCCACCCGATAATTGGTTAACGCCCACAGTATTATTTGCAGTGAATTAAATTATACGTAATGAGTTTTATCGAACACTGTTTAAGCCGGTTCATGTATTAATGTGCCAGTATCACTTATCACTTTTTTAAAACGATCAGTTTTTAAATCTCGTCCAATAAGAGTTGTAAGCGTAATCGTTTAAATAATTAAAGATACTAAGAGAGTAATATTCCTCGTTTACAGTATTGTAATACATTCAGGATGATGAGAAGAACAGAAGAGACTTCCAATTCCATTGTCTAATCAATTCGTACAGTCTTGTATTAATCAGCTTGTGCAGGTTTGAAGTAACATTTGCCGGTAATATTACCCGGTCAACGTGTTTTTCTCTTCTTCACCGATGATTACCACTGATAACGAAGTAGGTCCAATCTCGGTGATATTTTTAGTGATATTACTACGTGATAATCGAACGATTATTTCTCATCAACTGGCAGTTGAATTTGATTGTAATTGAGTGTTGGTGATATATATTTTTTTTCGGCGAATTTGCATAGTCGAGTGAATTTATGAAATTTAAACTATTCGGCTGAATCTACAGGTGAGCTTACAGCGATATACACGTGTCGATGTAATGTCAGCATTTGATGGGCTCGACTGCACTGCCGATCAGTTCTGTGTCCGATGTATCACTGACTTTTCCTATTAGATACATGATAAAGCTACGTTTTGTATTTTCCCTCTCCCTGCCTGAGATGTTTAGATAAAATGTCGCGATGTTTGTCACGTCTCAATACCTGTTCGTTATCACTGAGTGAAATTTTTCGTATCGGCTCGGGACTCATAATCTGCCAATGAGTAGTTCCATTTTTTTTACAACTCAGCTATGACATATTTCAAATCATTTGTGATTCATAAGTGTCGTTGGATAATTCTTTGAAGAAAAAAGAGTTAAATCGATGACATACGCTATCACAGTTGAGATTTTGTCGTTATCTCGTCAAGGGTATAGTTTGAGGCCAAAGTCTTTTTTTTTGAAGTACTTGAGTCATCATATCTTGGAGAATATCCGATGGCAGGTATTCAACTCGTGGTGTATCATTTGCGAAAAATGTTTATATGCAGGAAAATATGGGTGTATAAATCAATCCGCAATTCTGCATTACTTAAAGTGTCAAGTGACGTGCGATGAATGGAGAAGTTCAAGGGAATCGTCGTGGGTTTTTCCTAGTGAAGGCTTATGGTGATATCGCACCAATCACCTGTTGTCTAGCATATGTTCCAATTAGCAATGAGAGCATGCTCGTGTGAATCCAGTGCAACGATGACAAACTGCCTGATAAGACTTAGAATTTCGTCATGTTTGTCGAATCATTTACCAGTTGTAATTTTTTTAACCGGGTGGCATCTTCATCCGGTTTACCTAATCCTTCTTTTCATTTCATGTGTGACAAAATGATAATTGATTCGGCACTCACTTCATATCTTATCGTATTAATATTGCATCAAAACCGAAAATGATTATTTTTTCCTCGAAACTATCCGGTTATGGGGAAAAATCTCCAGATAAAATTGTGTCAGCTATCGTATCGTTTCCGTCGACAATATTAAGAAAGAGCTGTTAATACCCTTGAGTTTGTCTGTGTTTATTCATGTAAGATTTTTTGGTTATTATTTGATTGTCTCTGAATATCATTTTTCAAATGCTGTTTCTATGACAGGGCATCAACATCAAATTGGAAGAATGACCTTCAACAAAATCATGTTGACGATAAAATGATATCAGATGAGAGTAATTCTCTAGTGGAAGCTATTTCTATTCTCGAAAATAAAATGGAAATCCTGAGCATGAAGCGAAGATTGGGAAACGCTTCGTTAGGCAACCTTGAGAGAATAAGTCGAGGTAATTAACTGTACGGAAAGAATCATAGTGTGATTCCGCGGATTACGAAGATATGTATGTAAATAGAATAAATATTCAGCTGAATGTATTCTTGGAATTATTGATAAATTAATTGCGTGAATATTGTCCTTTTCGCGGCTTATTGATTTGTCTGGCGATGTGTAAATAAAATTCATTTGAGAATACCGACGAATTAAATAATTTGGGAATTCTGAGAAGTCTTGCATCATCGTTGTGAATCATTTCCTTAACGACATTCTTTAACGTTTCACCCAACCGAACGATTGGATATTACCATACGTCAGTTTTTTAAGAATTATATTATCGGAGTCATTATCTTCTTTATTTGGTAATTACTCTCGATAAAGTGATGAATTGATTTTCAGAATTCCATGAGCTCACGAGGAAATTCATGAAGTTAAAGGAAAGTGAAAAAACCGTTGAAAAAAATAATCATCAGAAGCGGAAAATAAAACTACTGAATAAATTGACTCAAACGGATGACGATCCGGTTCGCAAACTATCCGATGCAAAAGTCATTATTGCCAACTGTATGTTACGACTTCTCGAAATCAATCATTTAATCGATGGCAATGATTTTGAATCTGCTGTCATACGAAAGCTGTTGACAGATCAATGTTTCGACAATTCTCAAGATATTTTTAATATTCAAAGTCTATCAGTTGGTCCTGTGAGTGAAGTTTCGTCAACCTATTTTCTCAAATAACGAGTTCAACATAACTATTATATTTTAGGT